GGTGGTGGCGGTCTAACATTGATGACCTTTCCAGTTTGTGTCCTTTCAATAAGGTGCTCGGGTATGTCCTTAAACGGTGTCATCCCTTCAGCACGGTCAGCTTCTTTCATCGCGGTCTGGAAGGACATATTCATTGTCGCTTCATCATCCGTGAAGTATGACTCGTTCGATTCGTCTGAGACCATCGGAGTTGCCCAAAGGTCATCACCGACAGTCTTATCGTGCAGTGAAAGGTCATCCAATCCCAGTTCAGCCAATTCCATTTCTGTGACCTTTGTCCTGTCAGCTTCCGACTGAACCAGGTTTACATTTTTATCCTGTTCAGTAGTTCCGATAGTGGTAGCATCCGACTGTGATGCTCCGACTAGTTCCACTCCTTTCCCTGTGGGTATTTCCTCCCCGGTGACCTTTTTCTGGTTCATCGGATCGCTTCCCGCCGTAGACGCGGGAGTGTGCTTCTGGTCGTCGCTTGAACTTTCCTGATTGGCGACCGCCTCGAGCGCCTTCTGATAAGTGCTATCAGAGCCTCGTGAATCCTTCTTCTCGAATGCCTTGGGCGCTCGAGTGTTCCGCTCATGTCCAACTGGACGTGAGTACGGGTACAGATCCTTTTTGTATGGATTTGGTGCGCTTTGCTGTGAGCTGCGGGAGCTTTTGCTTCCCTGACTGCTGTTAGATGTCGGTTCCTCTTGTTCTCTGTCCATATTGATCGGATAACTTGGACGCTCCTGTCAATTGTTCTCACACACACGTTATTGTATGGTTTATTCAATAATCCTAAAGGTCACTCTGAACCTCCGAAATTTTTCTAAGTCCTTATTAAAGGTCACTTTTCGACTGAAAAATTTCGACTAAGTCCTTTTGTAAAGGTCACTTTTTCGGTAAAAAGTTCGAGAGATTTGCCCTAAAAGGTCACTTTCGGACAAAACTTCGAAACCGCTTTTACAACTCAGAATACGTTAGCGAATGAAATCCTACAGCTACTGATATCGCTGTACTATTAATCAACTCAATTCCAACTCCGTTAAAGGTCACCGTTGATCACTTTCAGATCATAAAGGTCACTAAAATTAGGTCAATTTGATCAATTCCAACTTTTTGATAAAGGTCACTTTTCAAAGTCAAAAGTCAACTTCTGGTCTCAAAGGTCACTTTCCGACTCAACTCAACTCAAAGGGTCACTTTCCAGTTCAATTTCTGTTAAAAAGTCACTTTCCGCTCAATTCCAGTTAAAGGTCACTTTTAAGCTCAATTCGATCAAAGGTCACTTTTCCTTTGTCTCAACTCAAAAGGTCACTTTTCGTCTCAATTATCTTATCTCAAATCAAATTTCCCATTACAGCTAGAGTTCAGCGGAAAATCCCCATTCGGGTTTGTTTACTTCTTTCTGATTGGTCCGCTAGCTCAAAATATTCAGTTCAAATTTCGGCCAATCACAGCTCAGATAATTGACCAATCACGTTATTCCGTTAAAAATTTTTATCTGCCTGACGTCACGGTCAACGGCCAGACATGCGCGCCGCGTGCAAAACTCCGCCTACTTCTACGCTCAGCTCAGTACGGACCAATGAAAAATGAGAATTTTACCATCTAACCAATCCCGCAATTAATAACGGGTTTTCTACCTGTTTCCTCGTCCGTTCCACGAGAATCGATCCAAATGATCCAGATTCTTCTTCCACTGTCCGTTCCCGCGCTGCCGCCGGTTTTACCGTAACGGTTGTGCCGCACGCTTTTTGGTCGGTTACTGTGCCGGCTGACTGCCGTAGCAACAGTAGTGGCGCTCTACTCCAGTTTGGAGGAGTCTGATCTGTCTTTTCCCGTGCGCCCCTTTTGGCGCTTCGCCGCTTGTGGCCCACGGCTTAGGCTTCGCTGAAGCCTTGCCGAGTAACGGTGACACCAGTGCAGGTCTTCGCTGAAGACACCGCACCGAGGAACACCGCCGACTGAACTCTTGAACTCTTTCACAGCAGTGGAACAGCACAGGTCTTCGCTGAAGACACTGTACCGAAACCAAGGCTGGTAATCCCGTCCGATGAGGAACTTGCACCGCTTGTGGTGTTGCGCTTTGCTGTCGGATAGACCTGTGCCTTACTGGTCGGGTTTCACGTCAAATAACAGGCCAACTTTGCCTGACACAATTCAAATCAGAGAACCGCTGTCGGCTCTGCTACCATCTAATGCTAGATCCAGCAGTGATCCAGATACGGAGACCTAAACGGAATAGATCCCGTGGAGTGAGCTATGCGATAAGTATAGCGAACTACGCGGAATCGCGAAACGTCGCACCGCTAATAGCTGACTTTTAATAATATTGAAAATTCCGACAACAGAAAATCAACAATGATCGGCGCAGCTCGATCGTAAAGCGTGGAGCCCATTCAACAGTGTGTAACACTGTGCAGCACGTGCTATGCCGCGCCCACTAACACAACTCAAGCCAATCAGAAGAGACACAACACAGACACGTAATCCTAAGGCGTAGCGCCACAGGCGTAGCGCCACTGACGTGAACGCTAGTGGTCCCGGTCTCACACTCCGAATGAGCGCTGCAGAAGACAGAACCGGATTCTTGTTACATCGTTACGCAATGTTGTGCTGGCATGAAATCGGTAGGCAGCACGTTACAAAAGACAAACTTTTCTGCCTGAAAGCTTTGGATATTACAAAACCGTTAAGATGGACTGCTGTTTCTGTCTGGCAACAATAAAACAATATTACCTATGTCGACAGGTTTTGTGGTCGACTTGCCGTAACCCAGCTTCTTTGTCGACACTAAATTCTGTAGGTGAAACGTTTCCTGAGACCTGACGTGTCTCACACTGGTATCGCACACTGGTATCGTACTTTGTATTAATTTTGTGGTTTTTATAGGTTTTGTTTTGCGATTCGTTTCGCCGACATAATTACGCATCACTAGGTCCGATAGCTGCTTGGTTCGTCTTGTGGTGGGGATATTTTACTTATCAAAAAACGATTCTAGATCTATTTATCGAAAAGAAGTTTTATAATTATTTTGACCTTCGACGCGTTAGACGACAGCTCGACTCCCTCCAACAGACAGTGCTGTAACTGCCTCTAAACGGTGCATTTTCAACGACGTAATACTCTCTGAAAATGCTGTTTATTGCTATTAATACCCAGAGCAAACACGACAGTAGGAGTGACCTTTAAACCCGAGAGAATGCCGTGTACTCTCGAGAAAATGGGTAGTGCCTAAAGTGTACAACGGGAATATTCATGAACATACTGTATACGACTGTACTATTCATGAGGAAGAAAAAGAGTGTTTGAAAAGTCCCACGGCAACATATTTCAAAATGTCACACATTTCATAAGATCATAATCGCCATAACAGGGTATTTTGTGAGCAATGCTCGTCTCTGCATATATATTCTGAAAAAAAAGATTATAATTTAGGTCAATAACAGGTACAAATGGCCTGATATGGGCAATCATCAAACGCCCATCAGGAAAGATATTTGCGCTGTAAACTTACACCATGGCAAAAATGGGCCAGTTTATCCGATGATAGCCACACGTGCTAATCAGCCTGAACCGTCGAGGGCCATGACCTTTCCGTTTCCTACCGAACGAGACACACGCGTAAACTAGCCGCTGGTTTAATCATTGCGGACCTGCGGTGGTCGTTCACTGGGCCAGGTCAATTGCATCTGGGTAACCATTGCGCGTCGGGTAACGGAGAAACGCGTAAAAATCTGTCCATGACTCAGCGAAAAATTTATCGTCCAATCGTAAGTCGAGTACGCTTCCGTGGCAAGAAAGAAATTGAACAACTGAATAACTGAAGTGGAACCGAAAATTTTATTTTTGATGCTTTAATGTGGTAGTACGTCAAAAAAGTTAATTCTGAGTTTACGAGTGTGATCTGGGTCGCTGGATGCACTTTTGGTTCAAACAAACAAAATTTTGTTCATCTGTGCAGGAGAGTACGAGTTACTCGCAGTTTGGGTAACGGTTGCGCTTCGATTTCGAAGCGCAACGGTTACACGCACGGGTAAGCTGAAAACCCATCCCAGAATTCTGGTTTACCAATCAAATCGTTTACCTGCTTACGCGCCGTGACGTCATGATTTTTTACCCGACTGCCGCTTGCGCGTCGCGTAAGACTTACACAGAGCAATTGACCTGGCCCACTGATATGGAACGGCTTTGGACGATTTTAGTGTCGAGAAGTACGTTTATTCAGCGCCCTGAACGTGTAATATCCAAAAGATTTACTGATATGGAATAATCATTGCATGCTTCTACTTTTTACGTTATTCTGTGCTGTTTGTCTACCCATCGGTTCAAAAAATACCCATATCCATCTGAACGTTGTTTATCCTGCCTCGGTGACAATACAAGCGCTTGTACTAGTAAACAGGCACATAAACTCGCCGAAAACCCAGAGGAATCTTAGGTAGTTGCTAATATTGTCGACGACTTGACGCTTCTAATGATCCACTTGATGAGGTCCAATAAAGACAATGTCAAAAGATATCGGAGTTGCGGGGATCGGGCATAAACCAGCACGATAAAACTGTTACTCACGTAACTAAATGGCTAAGGCCATAGTACTCGTATATAGCTAAGGCCATATACGAGTACTAGTACAAGTAGCCTACAAAAAGCGTACTGGCTGAACTCTTGGTGAAGCCTCCAAGGATGCGTTGGAAAAAGTGCTCTCGCTGGTGCCAGATATATTGTCAGATGTGCTCTCGCTGGTATCCGCTAAGCTGGGAATTGTTGTACATCAGATGCGCTATGATGTGGGTCACAAACAAATTCTTATTACAAGCAACAGTAACGTCCTGATATTATGCTAGTTTTTCCGAATTTTAGTTTCGCCGGTCGACAGATTGCTACAGCTCATAAGTGGCTTTTCATACGTCATTCTTGAATTACTATGTATAAATTAGTGTGCACAAGTGGCAACATTCACGGCAAAACTGATTATTCCATACAAAAAGGATCAAACGGAAAAAAATTTAGCGACAGCAAAATCAGAAGATCAGAAGATTGCATATGTACGTGTCGTCATAGGTTATCGGTTCCGAAACAAAGCTCAGTTATTCAATTTTATAAGTAATTACTACTACATAGAACAGTTACCAATCTCAAATGACATTTTCTCAAGTAAAGCATTCACACGGCGAAACCATCATTTTCACAAGCTCATCAAATAACTCACTGCACGATCTAGCGAGCGATCCCGAGGTGGCGATGCTGATCGACAATCTATGCCGGCCACTTCAGGCTCCGTTAAACAGCGATGTGGATGTCCTGCACCTTCAGTTTCCAGGTCGGTTATGTTTGACGTGACCACTGATTTCCTCTCTACGGTGATCTTGGGTGGAGACGTACCGCGTATGGTAACTTGAACTGCTGTTGTACCGTCAGCGTTGTATACCGTAACAAGAAACCTGTCGCCGGGTATCACCGACTTTCTCATCGAATCGGAAAGGTCCTGTGAAAAAGGTACACTCATGCTTCTCTCCCGTAAACGCGGCGTACTGTTCACCGCTGCTGACGAAGACCTTTCGGTACCGTCCAATTTATCCGAGGAAGAATTGGTAAAGCGACGTTTACGTAATGCCGGTTTTGTAATGGCCGAACGCTGTGTTAGTGGCACAGGAAGCTCAGAACTTTCCAACGAGATCTCCGATACAGGGGCGCTGTTCCGGTCCTGTCTGTCATTTCGTAATTTCATCCCTTCTTTAGGATCTTCGGAATCCACTCTGTCCGCCGAAGGACTGGAAAAGCGACGCTTACGAGATGCGGCCGATTTTGTACCGGTTGAGCGCTTCGCTGACGTCAGTGGCACAGGCAGCTCGGAACTCCGCGATGAATCCTCTGATGCATGTTTGTTCTGCCTGTGCTGAGCGTTATTCCGCAGTTTCGTGCTTTCTTTTAGGTCTTTGGGATGCAGTCCGATGGCACGCTTTTTATCGCTCTCTTCCCACACGCCGTCTATTCGTTCTCCCAGCTTCGTCATGGCATTGCCCTGATACGGGCGATAGTAGAGATATTTCTTCGGCAACCGACCATGAAGATAATCCTGTCGGTCTGACGATCGTGCATTCCATTTCGCCATATCATGCAGGGATATTTATTGTTTTTATTTCCACCCAACAGATGTCGCAGAGCATCGTTGCGCTTCCCTTTTCCGATCGATTTGTCGCAGTATGGGCAAAACCAAGCTCTACTTTGTCGCCTGCCCGTTCCTTGGTGTGAGGTATTCTTCGAACGTTCGGAGTCCGACTGTCGTACGGAATCACCATGGGTTGGCGTGCGACTGGAAGCGGATCGACGGTTTTTCTTGTCTTTCTTACACATGGCGTTTGCCTGAAAACTGATACATATTATGCTTCACGAAAAACAGCATCCATCAAAAACTGCGTAAAGCAGGTTTTCTCTAAATTCGCACTTTATTAAGCTCAAAAAGCCTGGAAGAACCTACAGTTAGGTATACACAACCGAGCAAAAATTGAAGGTCGTAGCATATTTCTTGCAGACTTACAGTCCACAAATCCACTTCTCGAGACACGATATTGGATTGGAATGGCCTCTCGCTTTTGGAGTTGGATCCGGAATGAAATCGAAAGTCATCTGAAAAACAAGGTTAAATTTAGACAGCTAAATCGTAAGAGCGTTTGAGGATGGCCTATAGCCTAGTTTAATCTCGCCGTCATGAGCTTTCGTTCCAGGGTCACGGTGTACACTGTATCCGCCTAGTACGGCGATCAGGCATAGCAATGCCCCAGTATCATGATTTTCTGCTGGAGTATCAGTTGTTTTGTCTACTTTTATTATATGTTTTCTCCCATTTATTCCCTTTTATGAAAAAAAACTATTTTTTAGGGACACCCCTGTTCCCCCATATTGTAGATGTATAGGGTAATCCTATACAAAGTAGTGACAAGTACATAAGTAGCACTAACTATAATACCAGGCAGCAGCAGCAGCTTTTTCCAACCGCAGCTTGTCATTGCAAGCTCCGGATGGCATCAAAAAGTGACCAGATGGCGCCGCACAGTGGAAAACCGGGCACGTAATCGTATTTACGAAAGGTATCGCTTCGCCCACATAAAAATTCATCACAAGATTCGATGGCTGCTGTTTTCGTTTAATGGTGGCCGGTGGAAATGCATATTACAAAAATCGAACGTAACTGCTAAAACGAAAGTTTACTATGTCCTCTGACCTGGTCCTATACCGACAGTTCTATGCCTGTTCGAACAATTCCACGACAAATACTTTTCATTTTAATCAATAGTTTCATAAATCACCGAAGACCAAGCGGAATCTTAGATAGCTGCTAATGTTGTTGACACTTGACACTACTGGCGTTTTAGCCGAAGCCAATTTAAATTCGTTCGGATTACCAACCGGCAGCGGTCCGACCGACCAGCGTCAATATCAATCACCTACCAGCGTTACCGCTTACTGCTGATTTATAGGTGAGGTACTGGGCTCGTGTACCCGGCCAGTTAACGCTCTCCGGTTAGACAGACATACATTACTTCCGGTCGTATCGTCCAGAAATTATAACACAATAATTGTAATTTTCCCTTTTTCGTTTCGCCCGACTCACTTTTGTGAGTCGGGCCCGTGCCTGTGGGAGCAGGTGATGTTTTAGAGAGCAGCGTCTTAATTACTTTTTAATTACTTTTTATGGCCCCTGCGCGCGGTTTGTGCGCCTGCGCCCCAGATCGGCGGCTTATCGCAAATCACGAATTATCTATAGATGTGTAGTCAGATTCTGTTGTCGTAACCCGGCTTCCTTGTCGGCACTAAACAGATGAATCCTTATGCGCCTCACACTGGTATTGTACTCTGCATTAATTTTGTGGTTCGTTCACCGACATAATTATGCATCACTAAATCCAATGGTAGCTTGGTTCGCTTCGTGGTGGGGAATATTATATTCAAAGAGAATCTAATTGTCTAATTGTTTATTGTTTTTTACGTTCGACACGTTAGACGACAACTCTACAGCTGTTTCGACATTTCCACCACGTATACGATACTTCGCAAGTTACAGGTTCGTTCCAACAAACAGTGCTCTAAGTGGTGTAGAAAACGGTGTGTGTTTTCCAAAGAAGCAAATTTCCCGAAATGCTGAATTAATTGTTATTACAAATAATACCCAGAGGAAACACCACAGCAAAGGTGACCTTTACCTCCCGTGGGATTACCATGTGCGCTAGAAAACGTTATGGGTGCCTAAAACGCATCGCGGGAATATTTGTAAATATAGCTATTCATGAGGAAGAAATGGGTGCTGCTATTCATGAGGAAGAAAAGGTGTCGAAAAATCCCAACTTCAGCTTATTTTATAAGATCATAATCCTCATATTTTAACTACTTTTTTTGTGAGCGATGCTCGTCTCTGTGTATATTCAGAATGAAAAAAAAGAATATAATGTCGGTAAATAATAAGCAAATAGGGACAATCACCAAACACCCATTATGAAAAGATTTGCGTTTAAAAAATTGAAAAATATTTGCGTACCGTAATAGGCGGGATAAACAACATTCGGAGGGATATGGTTATTTTTTCGGGCGATGGGTAATCGAAAAGATTTAACAAAGATCATCAATTTAGAATTGTTTACAAACTATCTTAATCGAAATTGTGACATATGTTTTAATGATCATGATAGCTTCCTAGTTTAACATTTTTTTGGTCTTATTCGATTATGCAAGTTTCGTCGACATTTACATCGGGCGTAGTGAATGTTCCCTATATTCGCGTCCGCGATGCACTGTTTCACTTGAGCTGTCACGAAGTTGTGCGGAAGCTTGGATTACTGAATGTGGGGCCTGGGTTTCGGCGATAGTGCAGCTAATCGAACGGACAGAATATTTAATGACACCAACATTAAGGATCACGTTAATGCTAATCGAACAACACAGTCTACTAGTTTAACAACACTCAGTTATTTAACTTTTCAATTTGAAGTAATATTTGACCAGTTACTTGGTAGGAGTAGTAGATCAAGTGCTACGTCAACAAAGGCATCAGTTTCTTTACAAGCTCATCAAATAACTCACTGCACGATCTAGAGAGCGATCCCGAGGTGGCGCTTCTGATGACGTTTTTGTTTGTTTTCGCGATCGAAAACCTACAACAGCCTCATCTTGCTCCGTTGAACGGCCAGGTGTGTAGTGTACAGCTCCTTCAGTTTCCCATTCGCTTTGGATCTGTATGCCTGCTGACTTCTTCGCTACGGTGATCTTCGGTGGAAAAGTACCGCGGACGGTAACTTGGGCTGCTGCAGTACCGTCTGCATTGTATACCGTAACAAGAAAGGTATCGCCCGGCGTCGTCGACCCTCTGCCCGAATCGTAAAGGTCCTTTGAAAATGCACTTATGTTTTTCTCCGGTAAACCCGGCGTACTGGTTCCTGCGACTGGCGACGACCTTCCGGCTAGGTCCAGTCTATCCGAGGAAGTACTGGAAAAGCGACGTTTACGTGATGTGGGTTTGGTAACGGCCGCACGCTGTGTTATTGGCACAGGTAGCTCAGAACTTCCCGACGAGATCTCCGATACGGGGACGCTGTTCCGGTACTGTCTGTCATTCCGTAATTTTATCCCTTCTTTAGGATCTTCGGGATCCAATCTGTCCGTCGAAGAACTGGAAAAGCGACGCTTACGAGATGCGGCCGATTTTGTACCGGTTGAGCGTTTCGCTGACGTCAGTGGCATAGGCAGCTCAGAACTCTGCGATGAATTCTCGTACGCTTGTATGTTCTGCCTGTGTTGAGCGTTCTTCCGCAGCTTCGTGCCTTCTTTTAGGTCTATGGGGTGCAGTTCGATGGCATGCTTTTTCTCGCTCACTTCCCACACTCCGTCTATTCGTCCTCCCAGCTTGGTCATGGCTTCGTCCTGATACAGGCGATAGTAGAGACATTTCTTCGGCAACCGACCATGAAGATAATCCTGTCGGTCTGACGGATCGCGCAGTCCATTTCGCCATATCACGCAGGGATATTTATTGTTTCTGTGTCCCCCCAACACATGTCGTACAACATTGCTGCGCCTTCCTTTTCCGATCGACTTGTCACAGTATGGGCAAAACCAAGTTTTAGTTTGTCGCCTGTCCGTTCCATGGTGTGAAGTATTCTTTGAATGTTCTGAGTCTTCTGACAGTTCTGAGTCCGACTGTCGTACGGATGCACCGCGGGTTGGCGTGCGACTGGAAGCGGATCGACGCTTTTCCTTGTCTTTCTTACACATGACGTTTGGCTGCAAACTGACACATGATGATATTATGCTTAACGAAAAACAGCGTTCACTAAAAACTGCGTAAAGCAGGTTCTCTGTAAAACCGCACTTTAATAAACTTAGAAAGCCTGGAAGAACCTACAGTTATACACAACCGAGCAAAACTAGAAGGTCGCAGCATATTCCTGCAGGCTTACAGCACACAAATCCACCTCTCGAGACACAGTATTTGAAATGGAATGGCCTCTCGCGTTTGGAGTTGGATCCGGAATAAAATCGAAAGTCATCTGAAAAACAAGGTCAAGTCTAGACAGCTAAGACTGCCTAAGAGCGTTTGATGGCTTGTAGTCTAGTTTAATCTCGATGTCATGAGTTTTCGTGCCAGGGTCACGATGCCCACTGTATCCGCCTAGTACGGCGGTCAGGCATAGATCTGCCCCTGTTAATGGAAGTTCTGCTGGACTATCAGCGTCTCTGATCTTGGTTTATCCCTTTTAATGTATTTTCTCCCATTTATTCCCTTTTATGAATAAAAACTGTTATTTAGGGACACCCCCTGTTGCCCCATAGTGTAGATTTATAGGATATAAATTATATCCGTCAAATTATTATTCTGTCATACTTCGCTATTATTATATCATACAGTACAGGTAGCATTCGCATGGTTATCGAGTTGTTTAGTGGTCGAACTTTATCTAACAGGTGCGCGATTTTTATTGCTGTTGTGGTAATGCATTTGTCGTAATCGAACAGTTCTTCGTGTTCCTCTTTGGCTCTATGGGACGGTATTTTATAATGCATTTTGGGTTGATCCCGTTAGTAGGTAGTAACTGTGCATACTAATTTGTTTGAAAATATTTGAAAATAAGGCTGCACTACATTAAAGCTGTAAATTTTCTTGCTTGCCGAGTGAAGCAGCTTGTAAAAAATATTTAGTTATCCACGTTCAACTAATAACTTTTTTTTCTAACTGTTTTACTCGGATTGAAAGCATCCGAGTGCACCTTTCCGCGGATATTTTATTGGATACTTAAACCGTACTTTTACAGTAATTTATTTAATCCGGCAGGCCTCGATAAAAATATTACGTTATGTTACTGCAAAGTGAAAACGGTATATCTTATCAGTATTGTGTGGATAAAGACGATTGGTCTTTGACAATTTCGTTTTTCGAAATAGGGAGATGAAACAAAATTAACAAATTGTATGAATGTATGTCGGATTTTTGATGCTTTTAACCAGAGTAATACAACACTGGGAACGACCTTTACTTCCCCGAGGGAATAACGTGTGCGTTCGAAAGCGTGAGGAGTGCCCTATGTGCACAGCGGAAATATTCAAGAATAAAGGATAGTTTGCGACTCATGAAGAAGAAAACGAGAAAAGGTGTTTCCATTAAACGTCCCACGATAACCCATTCCATAAGAACATGGTGGTACAATAATAAAATCTAGGTTGTTCAGCAGCAGCCAGTAAACAAGGACAATCTTCAAACGCTCATCAAAAGCTTAGTAATTTTAGCCTTGGTGAACTGCACTGCACAGTAAAAATCGATCAGTTTAACCAATGCAATAAATAAACAAAATTTAGGTTGATATGAGTATATTTGGACCGATGCCTAGTCAAAGACCACCGAACAAATTACAAATGTAGACGCAAGTAATAACTATTTATTGTACATAAATCTTTGGAATATCACGATCATTCTGGGCGTTGCACGTACTCCTCGGCATCTAAAAACGTCCGATATGGTTCGGTGTCGATAATTTTTTCTTTTAGGAATATTCTGATAAGGTCGATATTTGTTCTTTTCTTGGACTGTGCGAAAATAATACGATATTTGTCCATCATATATCGCCTTGTCTGCTTTCTCGAGGATTGTTGTAAGAGTACAAATGACGAATTTGGCGGACCGAGTTAACGGCTGCATAGCGCCACTGCTTAGAAGATAGCATACATAACAATGGATTCATTGTGCAGTCCAGTGAGAACAGATAATTAACAATCGCCAGTGTCCTCACATCCAGAAAGCTGGCGGTCATCATGAAGGAGTAGATGACATGACCCGGAGTCCAGAAAAGAAGCGAGTTGATAAACAGGATGGTCAGGACCGTAAAATGACGATTTCTTTTCTGCCACCGGCTTCCTTCGGGAATATGCGGTTGTATTTTAGAATTATCTGCCACAACACTAATATCTACGGTGCGTGTTACGGAATGTGAGTTATATTGTGAGACTTCGGCCTTGTGGACCGGCCGCATAACAATATCGTCCCGTGTTTTCCTTAAAATCTTTACTTTCCAGAACACGATGGGATAGATGATAGTAACAAGCATTTGAGGGATCGGATGAGTCAGATAGCCGTACAAGGCACGATATAGTGTATCGTAACCGAAGTTGTAGATGCAAAGATGTGCAAGGCCGGGAGTACGGGCGCGGCAGTCGTGATCGACAAAAACCGGGAGGGACAGCGCATTAATGACAACGACCACAGCAATGATTAAACCAGCGGCTAGTTTGCGCGTGTGCCGCGTTCGGTAGGAAAACGGAAAGGTCACGGCCCACAGACGGTTCAGGCTGATGAGCACGTGTACCGTTACAATGCACGCGCTTGTAATCTGAGCACAGTATAAATTAAACAAGCACATAAACTCGCCGAAAACCCAACGGAATCTTAGGTAGTTGCTGATGTTGTTGACGCTGCTGGTGCTCGACTTGATGAGGTCCAATAAAGACAATGTCAAAAGATAACTGTTGAATGGCGTTCGGAGTTGCGGGGATCGGGCATAAACCAGCACGATAAAACTGTTACTCATGTAACTAAATATGGCTAAGGCCATATATAAGTAGCCCACAAAAAGAGTACTGGGCTGAACTCTTGGTGGAGCCACCAAGGATGCGTTGGACAAAGTGCTCTCGTTGGCGCCGGATATATTGGAGAAATATCCGCTAAGCTGGGAAACATTGTATATCAGATGCGCCATGATGCCGGTCACAAACAAATTCTTATAACAAATATCCTACTCGTAGATTTTTATTTGGTAAACGCAGAGTGGCGCGCGTAACGTAGTCATGCGATTCCGCGCAAGAACGATGCAGCAAAAATTAGAGATTTTCAATCGCGCGTTAGCTGAAACGTGAACATGAGTTATTATGAGTGACCTTCACCTCAGGTAGGAAATGTCTGCTAAAGGCTTTGTAGCGGAAATGCTGTCTACGCGACGTGAAGAAATCATAAGGGAGTAAATCACAATTTTTATAATGGGAGCAGCAGGTGTCATATTTTTACAGTTTATCATGAGTTAAGAGTGGGACGACCTCGGGTGAGTGCAGCACCACGTTTTGATTGACATAGAAATACGACAATATTTTGAAGAAGATGGCTGCCCCTAGTGCCTGCTATATGACTGACGTTCTCCCAAAGGGATATGTGGGACGGATTTTCGAATTGCTTGGATTCCTTGTCCATGATTACGCAGATTTCTTGGAAGTCAAAAGAATTGCCGGTATTATCGTACAAACAAACATCGATATCACTTGCTCCCTCAACTACAGGCCCCAAGGGGAACTCTTGTTACAATCTGCAGAAGACAGTGCGGCGCGATTATAATACCCGAATGCTGCACATCTCTTTGACCTTTAGATAGGTTGCACAATTCTGTGGAAGCTGAGGAGACTCGAGGTGCGTCAGCATAAATCTCCGTGGATACCTTGAAGACGTTTAGCAGACTTTGAAAAGAAAATGTAGCTGACAGTAAATTAAGCACATAAACGGCGACTGCGTATTATATATATGAATGGCGTGAACGTCAAGCAGGGGCGGCAGAGGATTTCCCTCCTGCAATATTTACGGAATTTGTGAATAACACCCAGGTGCACGTCATCCAGGTTTGATATCCCACTTAATTTAAATGATTATTAAACGCCCTGAACGATTCCTCCACCTAATTCGTCAAAACCGTGCCGAACCCTGATGTCTTTGTGGGCATAATTCGCAGTACTAAAAGTATAAGCTGTGGATCGGCAGGATAAACCTGGACTATGTATTGATTTAGTGAAATACAATGCTCTGTTCATCTGCTGGCTGAATTAAGCGTTAGCAAGGAGCAGTTACAGTAATTAACAGGAAAATTTGAAGATGAAAGTGAATGACTGTACCATTTGTACAGCAGCCTACAGACTGTACTGTACAAGGATGTCAACTCTAGTGTAGGTAGTGCCATGCACAGTCTTTGTTAATCTTGTAAAAAAACTAACAAATTAACTAACTAACAAGCTAACTAACTAACAAGCTACAGCCGTCAGAATAACAATAGTGCAAGTGCGGGAAAATTGCTTGCCAGTCAAATTCTACTCTACTCTAAACATTAAAAACCCAACTAAATTCTCTATCCACCCGTGTATTAAGAGGTAAAATGTTTAGCACACCAGTCAGTTCGCAAATTTTCCGGCTCATAAAATGCAGAAGTTCGTTTGAAGTCGCGCAAAACATTTACGTGTGCTGTGTGCAATATTCTAGTGTGTGTAATGTAGGGAAGAATTCTGTAGTTTGCATACTGGCACAAAAGACGCCAAATTTATTAATTCACAGCTAGCATTTCCCTGTAATTCTAATTCAGCGGAAATTCAGTAATTCAGCGGAAATTAAAGTTCAAGTACGCGAAATTATTAACATCGATTCCTTTTCAGTATGCAAACTTTTAACAGTATGGTACAACATTAACATTTTGACAGCTGCTGATCTCCGAACGGAAGTCGAATACATTCCCCGCTGCACATGTTTGTACCAAGGGCCTCAGCGGCGTCGAGCTCTTGTCGCAATAGCACCACCAGGGACTGCACTGTCCAATGGAGAACCACCAGTTATTGGGCAAATCCCGTGCTTGGCAATTCGCCAGAGTGCACATGCTAGACGTGGCCGTTGGCACGGGAGTCGTCCAGACGGTGGTGTTGGCCGGGAGACCGGCCGCTTTCTGGCAGTAGGTAGCGCTGGTGGCCAAGCACGTGCGAGTGGTCGCGTCGAAGGCTTTCCCGGTGCCGCACCCATACCACGCCCCGGTTCCACCAGTGCATTTACAGTAGTTCGAACTACAGGGCGCGGTGGCGTAATTGCCGTTAGCCTTATTGGCACAGAATGTCGGATCACACCAGTCAAAACCACCGGTCGGGCGACCGGCCACGGGAGCGGCGGTGGTGGTCGTTGTTGCCGCGGCGGTCGTTGTGGTTATCGGCACCTGGGTCACCGCTGCGGTTGTCGCTTGTGTGGCTGTTGACGACGTAGCACCGCTGCAGGCAGGAATGGAACTCGTACTGACGCAACCCATGGTGCTGGCCGAAGCGTCGTACGACTGACCGGTCGGGCATGTGAAGACTTTGGGCGCGTTGACGTTCTTCCAGTCCCATCCATTGCTCGTGGCGTTCCATACACCGGTCTGATAACTACAAGCGCAGTACTGGTTGGAGCAGACGTTGGCTGAGGTCATCGCGTACTGTTGACGGCCTTGGCATCCCGTTACATCGCAAGGTATGCTCTGAGTGGATGTCGTTGCGGTGGGGTTGACTAATCCGGCAACAATGTAGTCTTCGATGCCTAGGTGGTTGATGCCGCGGATGAACTTCACGGTCCCGTTAATGCCCCAGCCGTAGCCCCAAGAATTAGCAATCAGCCAGTAGTCAGTGCCGCTTTCGGTGCCCCACCCGATCAGTTTCATGGCGTGGCCTCCGGAGTAGTTACCAGTGACATGTTGATAAACTCCTAAAAACCAAAAGGTCATACACGGTTTTTTTTCAAAATGGAACATCAACGTACCGGATTTGTATGCGAAGAAGTCAGAATATACCGAGATGCTGACCGTCATCGGGCCGTTGGTCATCAGTTCGTACTGAATTTGGTGAATTACCGTGTCGGTGGTAGCGATGGATGCGGCGGCTCCGCCCGAATTATTGGCAAAGTTATTTCCCAGTGCGTACCAGCTGGAACCTGTATAGTTAAATACGTTTTTTAATAAGAATGCTGATAAAGTACATACGCTCCACTGAAGAGTATAGCTAAATTAAGGCGTTAAAAACTTACCATATGTTTTGTTTTGGCTGTAATTAATGGCTGAATTGGAGCAGGTTTGGGTGCACTGACTGGTGGATGTAGCGGTCGCTGCAGCCTGAGTGTAGGATACATACGGCATGCATCCTTGGTTTGTCGTGCTCTGGTAGTCGCCACCGGTCACAATACCGCTGCTAACGGCCATGGCATAGGGTACTCGAGGATCATTTCCGTTACTGCAACGTCAGCCGTGTTATGAAGCACTCAAGCAAAGTATAGCATTTTTTAAATTAAAATAACAAGATTTTTACAGCAATAATTAAGCGCCACTGCGGCACTTTTCAGAATCTGTACAAAGCTCTGTGTTTTTTGGCAGCTTTGTAAGTTATACGGTACATTGAACATAATTTTTTGGAATTGCAGTGCGATTTGTCTGGTTAATTAATTGCAGCCGGGAAAAATTGAATCGAAATAAATGACAGCTGTTTTAAAAATAATCACGTACCAATAGTTTTGATTGCTCCCTCCACTGCAGACAATCAAGTCTTGCACCGATAATTTCCGGTAAGAATTAGCACTGCCACTGGCAATGCAATAACGGTCGGACAGCGAAGAAGCTCCTGCGTGCGCCTGACAAAAACTAGTGTTAAAGTTCGTTTGCTCACCTTATAAATGAGAATATACAGCAGCAACATCAAATATTCACCGAGGTCACAGCTTACCCAGCAAGAACCGCATTGACCTTGATCGCGGATTTCCTTCATGCTGACGCAGTTGGGCCATTGGGTGCGCACATCGAAACTGGCCGGTAGTGCCACACGGCGGACGGAAGGAGCCGGTGCAACGTGGGGGTCATTGATGGTGGATGCTTTAGTGGGAATTATGGTACCGCACAGAGTCTTCAGCTCGTCATGCTCCATGCCGGTGAAATCGTTCTCCGCCGGCTCCCATATGGCGCCGCGTTGCTGGTTCTTGAAATGCTCCTTGACTTTCCTAATCCAAACAACGACATTTTTAAAAGGTCACAAAGAAAAGCAGTTTATTGGGATTTGTTTTAATTTTACCATGCTGTTTGAATTATTAATTGGTGAACACGGTGTTTTAACAAAGTCTGCAAAGAAAACGAAAAAAATTGACCTTACTGGATGTTGTCGCCATGCAGTTTGTTCAGCTTCGCGCCTCGCTTAGCTGCTACTACAGTAACGCCCACCAATAAGACAGAAACCAAACAAGTTGCGATATGCATGTTGGGCCCGCGGTAAGCAATGATAAGAAAAAAAATTTTCAAATGCAAACGGAATATGGATACTAACGTCCATCTCAAGGATTTAAATACGAAGTTTTGGCAAGCGTTTGCTGTTTTGCTGACGTCGCTGCTCACGGGATGACTTTCTACGTATTACTTCTGACGAACTGCGAGGTGTCACGGAGTTTTGCGGAAACCTGGACCAATTAGCGGAAAATGGACCCTGGGTTTCCCGTTATATACTGCAACTATGACATATTCGGTGCCCATTTACCTGTACGATAACGACATCATAAGTGGTAACCCAAACTGTTAAAAATCTGCTGCGTTCAGACAACACACACTTGTTTATCACAGCAGATTTTGAATGATGCTGTTAACCTGATAAATTCCGCAAACGTGCAATAAACCGCCAACCGGTATCCAAGAAGTCTTTATGAAATACTCATATTATAGCCATACTTACGTTCATTGGGGGTTACCAGCCGTCCCTGGCTCCGTCATCACCTTACCACTTAAAGTTGATTCACAGCAAAGGCACCGTTACGCTCCCGGCTAAATGTTCCGTTTATGCTTTGTTTTCCTTCGCCCTACACAAGCTATTAGTTTTATGAATAAATGTCAATTTTTTCATTTCGGCACTACTGTTGATAGTGTTGCATGGACTGATCTTGCTGATAACTGATTTACGTAATTATGCAAGCCAGTAGCCACTAGTCTGGCACTGACCTTTGCAGACCTTCGAATTTAACTACGTATATACATATACTATTTTACAATTCGATGTTTTTATTTATTCAGTTAAGGGTATAGAGTTTCATTATGTATTTGTATTGCTAACAATACCGAATATTGTAGGCACCAGCGTAGCGTGCAAGAAGAGTGAGCTTTTGGTTGGTTTTGTTTACGATCGGGTTATGTAGTATTGTGTTATTAAGCGGTACTCTGTACATGCACGTGGTTGACACTACATTGCTCACGAACTGAATAAAAATGTTAGCAATAATTAAATACAGACAAAGAAATCATACTACATATATACGGGTATATCATGGATTATTAAAAATACGAGTTGATCACACTTTGGATGAAAACTATAGTTATGGGAAGTAATAAGGATATCCCTGAAGTATTTGAGCAGCGTAAATTAAAGATTAAGTTTTGTATATACTGCAGTATAATACAATTAATTTCGAAGTCCTGGTGCATGTTTTGAAAATTGCCACATCGGGATGTGTATACCGCGTATCATTTACAGCCGGATAATTTTTCTTTTTTCCTTGCGGCTTAATTGTTCATAAACGTTCAATTCCAAGGGGCTTCCGGTAAACAGGCGTATCGGACATATCGATCGTGATATAGCCCAGAAACAATTAATAACGCATGTGTCTGTACTTAAGCATTGCGTTTCTGAACTTCTTCACTAGCCGCACGTTCGTTATTCCGAGTGGGGTACTGAGCGTCGAACAAGAGATTGCCGCTTTATTGTGGTACCAGTTGTATGTAAGTTTCACAAAAATTCAACGGATACGCGGTTACTGACGTACCTGGTTTAGCATCAGTTTGCACGCACGTTGTGACGCAAAAACCCGCTGCACATTTGCCGAACCGGTATGTAAGTACTTCTTGAACGAGTAAAACAAGAATACGAGTACCGTACGATATTAATCAACATACAGTACCTTCATCGTACGCACACACGGAACAAAGGAATAGTTTTTAATATATTATGCTAGAACACTCTAAGTTCCTTATAAAATTGCGCATAATAAAATGTAATTAATAGTGCAACAATATTATCTTTAACAACTACCAGGAGATCTATAGTAATTAAAAGGAAATATATATATAACTCTGTACAAAGTACATATAACATACATGTATTTTCTGTTAATTATGTACGAGTATTTGTACATATCTATCTGTATATAGCGTAGCGTATTGACTGTATTCCATACGCTAGAATTTTGGTTTACCTTTGTAAAATTAGATAATTGATTTCATGGTCATACACAATATATGTTAGTATATATATTGCTTACCATGTAGACGGTTTGAAATTTTTAGCTTATCCACGTACGCCAGCGGTTCAGGCAATTGTTAATGTATTTCGCGGACAGGAAATTATTTTTCAAGAACTGCGATTTGCGGGCCAACAGGGATCAAATTTTGCATTGTACTTATATATTGCTGTTAACGTTCACATCAGCGGACGCTGAATTTGGCATACCCAGCCTGCATTTATTTAACGGATGATAAGCGGCATTTACGGTGCTGGCTGATTTTTTATGGCCTTTGAAATCTGTTTACTTTTCGAGCACCATCCTTTACAAATTGTGCGTTCGCATCTGGCTCGCATTTCAGTTTATCATTGCCCGCAGATTTATATTATCCCCAATTATGCAATGATCCTCGAACTGCATGCTATCCTGCACCTTCACAACACCACACGCCGATGACCCAACATCGTGGTGAACTGTTAAAAGAAAGCCATCTTCCATGAAAAGGACTTTGGCCTGAACTAAAAATAACCAGAGCGTTACCGGCGTGTATTGGCAAAATATCCTGTCATTAAAGGCACACACATGCCGTTTGCCGGCTGCAACAGCGATTCTGATTTCTTTCCTCGTTTAGCATCGTAAAAATCCGCTCGCTTGGACGGCTTACAGAGTGGCGCATTGATCTCGGAGATGATGCGTGCTTTATGGCATATTTACAGCAAAATGTGGCTTTTTAAACTTGTCCGGAAGGCAGCTGTGCAGCGGAAACCGAACGGGGACTGTGTATGTGTGCCGGTGCCAGAAATCGATGGAAGATCGGCGGACGGGTGTGTAGTGTGTTACCGTATCAGCCGGTCTTTATGGAATTGGCGCCAAAGCCAACCGGATATAAGAGTGCATGATGATACTGCTCTCTCCATACAGCAACATGAATGCATCCTTGTAAATGATCCTTTTCGCCGGCGAACATCATCTTTTGACCCCTGTTCGTGTTATGAGGACGCTCATTACTTCTCGCATTCGATTGCATAAAATGCGCTCCCATTTATCTGATGATTGTATTAAATTTGATTTTAAGAAATCGGTTGACCGTGTTAAATTACCGACTGCAATTACCCATCCGTAGATTATAAAAATCGTTAAGCAAGCGGGCAAAGCCGGTTTGCGGTTATAAGACCAAACAGTAAATATTTAAAAATTTAAAAATTATATAAAAATTTAATCGTGGTTATTTTAAATTTTTTCAAAAATATGGATGAATTGTAAAACGATTTAAAGAAGTGAAATTAAAAGTTTTACGATTCGAAAAAAGCAATAGTACACTTTTCAAAATAAAATAAAATCCTGATTATGAAAGATTTCGTTGCGCTTTTAATTTTCACATTTCACTGCCATGCGACAGAGGTTGACCAGTATGTCACGATCAGCTAGTGAGCCAAATATTCAGCCCATCATTCCGGTAGTGAAAATTAATGGGATCATTCTAACTTTCTGATTATTCATCAGGCGTGAAATGGCCAGACAGACAGTCTGCATTATCTGCTTGCCGAATCAATTACTAATTAACAAAATTAAGGCTTGTAAATCGCAATGACACCTGATCAAATCGGATAAACGCACAGTCATTTGCAATAATGAGCGAAGTTTTTGCTGGCTGGCTCCGCCCTCCACCGCGCTTGACTGACAACCTGTCAGACAGACAGCCTGAGCCTGATTCAGCCTACGTACGTACGTACAGCAGTTGTGGTGGGCGTGCCCAGAAGCCAGTCAGCAGAAAAAGCCGAACGCATGGTGCAGCTGATCACTTTTCACTTGCACTTTTTTTTACACCAGAATGGGCCGCGGCAAAATTAAGCCATATTTATCCAACAAATGATTACACACTCGAGTGCTATGAATCAAATGTGGTGCGGCTTTATGGTGGGTTGTTGATATCGGCATTCCTGGAAACTTCGCGTTTTTTATTTATTCATCAGGCCCCGTTCGTTGTTTAATCCGGTTGGAGCTTTTGTTGGCCTCCTTTTGTATCGATCGGGAAACAGCGCGTGTTGATTCGCACGAAACGCGGGAACAGTGAAATTTCTGGAGTGTGATTGTGGGATTCTGGCTGCCTTCTTTTCGGTTGTTTTTGTTTAGACTGTGCAGAAAAATGCCTGAGCAGGTATGAAAATCATCTTCTTATCAAAAGTCGACTTCAAGCTTGTTTCCTGTGCGTTCGTGCATCTCGAACCATTTTGATTATTATTTAAAATTTATTTAATCTATCGTCATAGCTTTCCGTGAATTTAAAGAACGATTTATTGTTGAAACGGCTGAATGCTGTTTAAAATTGATATCTGTTAAATTGATGCCTAATAGTTCAGTAAAATTGTATTTTATAAGTTTTTGTTGTGTTGGTAAACAAAAACATCAAAACAGTAAGTGTTTATTTTGGTGCGATTTCAGTACAAAAAATTATATCATTATTATCATGTCATTATTTTCCATTTGCACAGAAATCCCCATCCGACCGGCTGCAGCGCACGGAAAGCGGTCACAATCTGCCGCCGACCTCCTTATCCATGGTCAGTTTACAGCAGAACGCCCAGCGTGTCGGCTTCCTGCTCAAGCACGAAAAGGGCTTCTTCAAAAGCCTCTTTGGACGCTCGTGGAAGCGGAAGTACTGCATTCTCAGTGGATACCATTTCTACTTCTTCAAAAATAAGGTATGAATGCAGGGAATGCGTTATCAGTACTTTATCATGCACTGTGCAATGGAATGACAACATTTCTCGGAATGCAGCAGCATGTGGCGTTTCATTGAATTTATATGATTACAGTTAATTTATCTTCCCTTTTTTCCAAAGCGGTAGAATAGATTAGACAGTACTCGTAACGTAAACAATGGCGATTTCCGGTGGAAGAGCCTCGGCTCGCTAGTGCCCAGCAGACGGCCAGTAAAGCCGGTTGTGACACGTTCGGTCATGCGCGTTGCTCTTGGATAAGACTGACCATCGCCCGGTTAGGCCGGTTGCGTTGGACAGCATCAGATAAAGCACGCCGCACCGGATATCCGGCTTGTCATCCATTGTTCGGTGCTAGATCTGCGCAGTGCGCACGATAGCGAGAGGCTAAGCCGCTAATATGTATAAAAGGTGAATTGATTGCTTTTGTTTATGGGAAAATTAATAGCGCTTGAATTTTCTTGAATTACGGTGTTTGGTTTTGGGTTTTACAGCAGAATACATTGAAAAATGATATCACATGGCAAATATTTGCTTAAGTAAATAGCGTAATAAATGAATTAACTAATTTAGTAGTGGCGGTGCTGTTTGAAACAAAATACAGTAAGTATATATAGAGCTATGTTTGTTTGTTGTTAGTATTATTTTGAAAATATTAGCAAATATGGAAATTGATGTACTGATTAAAGAATAACGCTAGATGTGTGAAACAGAAATATCTACAGTGTTTTCTTGGTTATTTTTCTTTTGAAAACAGTTTTTATAAACAATTATTATTTTTATTATAAATTAGTAGATATGTTGATGAATGTACTAATTAAACGAAAGCGCCGCTGTTTGGAACATAATACCTGTAGTGTTTTCTTTATTATTTTCTTTTGAAAATATTTATTATTTTTAATATAAACAGTTATATAAATTAAACTAATTATTATTGTTTACTATGAACAATTATTTTGTAACAATTATTAAGTATCAATTTACTGGTGCAACAGTATATGCAGCTTGTCATTTAGCGGCCTGTGTTGATTGCGGGCGAAATGGTGTCAATGGCAACATGATGCCAATTTTAAGCCGGGTTGATTTGTTTGCGGAGATGAAAGATTTGTGCTGCCGGGTGGACGTATGTACGCGGGGGGAATCAACTATAAATAACCAGAGGATTTTTGTGTTTTGTAGAAAGGAGCGGGCAAAGACGGCGGCAGTAATGGAGTGATCAATCTGCGCTACTTTGATCAGTGTACCCTGCCCACGGAGAAACAGTGCAGTTTGCCACATGTCTTCCGCTTATCCAGCAGCCAGAAGAGCGATAATTATTCATTCCTTTTCCAGGTCAGTTTGTATCTCTGGTAATGGGCTTCCAGAAGCTCCGGGAATTAGCAGCTGACCGCCTTAAGGTCAAAGGACGCTTTTGTTATGCGGCCGAGAAGTTGCTAATCGATTGTGGAATGCAAAAAAACATTTCGGAGTCTTTGCAAAATTAATGACAAAATAATGATCGCGAGCTATCCTAACGATTTCAAAAAAATTGTTGGCTATTTTTGGAATGCGGGACGAATTCTTATTTTGACTTTTAATTGAAGTAGAGCATTTTGTATAAAATAAATTCATAAAAAATACTTTAAATAAGAAAAGTACTTTTTGTAAATAAAGTACTTTTAAAAAATAAATAAATTGCTTGTGATTTAATTTTTGAATGTAATTTATAAATATCATGTAATTCTTTTTTCCAGATTTTAGTAATGTACGAAAATTGCAATTTTGAACGCCAAAATTAACAATAACCTTCCGCCTTTATTGTTATCTCTATTTCCGCGGTGTTCGTTTCGCGATACGACGGGATTGTGCGGCGTTTGTAGCGGTTGGCCATTGGCCCTTTTCACTGATGGTCGAGTGATTTCCGCTGACCGGTATCGGTTGTGCGCGTTCATGTCGCGCCACCGGGAAATGATGCGCGAGGACTGATAATTAGCCGGAAGACGCTCTGGTCATGATTGACAGTGATATGGATGGTCATTTTTGATTATTATTTGTAGGCCGACTCTGTCGACGAGATGCAGCGATGGATGACAGACATTCAGCTGGTGATCTTCCAATGCCAGACCCAAGGCCGCACCAGTGCCGGTCCGCAGGCCGCCTCCCGGCAGGGCAGTCAGCCGGGCAGTCCGTTGGCCGCGCGTCAGCTGGATCCCGCTGTCCACGATCACCACAACCGGCACAGCAGCATACCGGTAAGAAAATAGACATGTGCTAGCGTTATTTATTGAATGTTATAGGTATTTTTATTGTGTTTAAGTACTTATTCTTGCTTTTTTAATTTTTATGTAATGATTTTCTTTCAGTTGTTTTTATAAATTTGTTTCCACTATGCACATTGTACTGCATAAATCTTTTATTTAGTGGTATCTTCGGATTTTTTTCTGTTTTATTTCTGTTTATTACTTGTCGGCCTTTCTTTTTTAACAAATTTGTGAAAAAGCAGCGAGATTAACTTCCTTTTCTTTGTACGAATTTTCCGGTGGATACACGATCAATGGATATTTTTTTTGTTACATACTCGTACTAGCTTCCCCCAGTTGCAGCATTATACGCCGCTTATGGCAGTGTAAATTAATATCGACTTTATTTTTTATCGTTTGATTTTTGTCTGGTGTTTTGCTGTCGTCTAGGCAGATTAAATTTTAAACATATTCAGTTTTCAAATAGCTTATGTTGAACCAGATGAGGGTACCTTTATACAACGTTGCTAAATGAAACCGGTTTTTTAAGTTATGCGCCTGTCTTACCAATTAGTACTTATCATAACGTTCCCACGCGATCGCATTTTGTTGTCCATGCTTCTCAAATGCAGGCAGGCCACTTCACCTGGATTATTCACCTAAATGCACAATGACCACGTGTTGTTGCATAAGGATTAGCCATTCATTTGAAAATTGAAAGTTTAACGGCTTTGCGGAAAATTGCTTGGTTATTTAATAGCTGCTTTTGAACTGCTGTAGTTATTAACTGTGCATTATTACGGTTTTTCATCCCGTCAACCGTAATTTTAATTAACTACTCGTACGTAGTAAATTATTTTGTTCGTAAAAGCCGTTGCGCTGTTTAATTCGTACCTGCACAAAAATAAAAAAGAAGAAAGTATAATAGCCCGATCAATATTTTATTAATTTTTGCCGTAATGTTTTTCGAAAGTTGTTTCTGGAAAACGTTGCGGATTGTTTGACCTGTTCAGCATCTTTTCAATTTATAAAAAAACAATTCATTTGTTTTTGCATTTTTTTAAATTCTGAAGCTTGGTTTTTTTCGTCTGTCATTGTACTTGTACATGGAGATATAAGCGGTTGCCGTCCGGTGAAAATCGATATTTTGGCGCTTTTAAATGGCCATCACTGCCATTGCAGCTGTCAAGTGGCGGAAAAATAATATACTTGCCAGAAAAATGCGGTCATATCGTTGACGAGACATAATTTGGGTTGATGAAAAGTAAAACGGATGCACACAGACGACTAGCCGACAAATGCTCGCTCGCCTGCATAATTGTAATGGGCCGACGGAATCATCAATTATTATTATGGGTTTGAGCACGCATTGCGGCTGCACACTGCATTTGATGAATGCACAACAGTTGCATCGGACATGGAGATCGTTACCAGTTTACCATCTAACTAACATAAATTATTCTTAGCTTTTATCGCTGTTTACGACTTAATTACGTATTTTATGGATGCGACTACATAAGTAACTGGGGAGCTGTAAAGACGTAAACAACAGCATCTGGAAACAGAAAATGTAGCCTGGTCTGTTTCTTTCTGGTAATTTGTAATTGTAATATATTTGTAATAGTAATTTGTAATATCAGCAGTCGTTTTCACCGAAATTTTTTTAAATTTTATTCCAAAATAATGTAAAATTAATGCGAGTACTGTAAATTAATTCGACTTTCGTCCAGCTCTTTTAATCTTCAATCAAATTGCACGTCCCTTATATGCGTATACTGTTATTTATAGAAGGGTATTAAAGAAATTTACTGCGCACTGTGCGCAGGTGTTTTTTTCTGTACGACGCCATAATGTGAACATATCCATTATCCACTGCAGGAATCGGGATCAGCCGGAGTGTACCGCACCACATCTTCCGGCGATGAAAGGGACGGTGGCGATTACGACAATCAAGAACACGAGCCGGCGTCGCGCTCCGAATCGCGCAATGCCAAACCAGTGGAGATGTTGGTGCCGAGAATGCCCAAATACAATCAGGTACAAATAGAGACTTCGGAAAATTTGAATACTATAGTACATACTACATAGTACATACGAAAATGTAAAACAGCCGCTCTGTTGCGGTGCATCATATACTTCTTGCTGAGTCTTCTCTGTGGAATGATGAACCAAATTTTGCTTCTATTTTGACCGGTCAATTTAGCGGGGTTTTTTTTACCAGTTTATACTGCAGTTATATTTCATAATTTATATACTCGTATTTTCCCGTCAACTTTACGGGCATTTGAACCAGATTTTTTGCCGCAGGTCGTCAGTGAACTGCAGCTGAAACTCCACCGCCCCGACCCCTCGGACACCTCCCCCACCCCCCACAAACCCGCTTCCCGCCACCCCAGCAGCGTCCCGCCGGTGTCCCCGCGTCCCGACTCCTCCACCAGCTCTTCCGGCTCCTCCTACCCACCCCACACCCCTCCCGGCCACGTCATCGAACCCCCGGCGCCCTTCCGCCTACCGCCTCTCCCCGCCACACCCGGCCTGAAATCCCCGCACAATCTTGACGCCCAGTTCGACAGCGTCCTGCAGATGATGGAGCATCTGCAGACGGAGGTGGAGGAGGAGCACGTCAACGGGGTGGCCTACGCCGTGCCCTACAAGAAGGACCAACGCCCCGCCGTCCCGCCAAAACCCAAACGGGAACTGTACGAGAACCTCCTGGCTAACCACGTGACACTGCAAGTGAGTCCTGTGGTGGGTGTGACGGGATGAAAATGCGATGGCATGGAACGTGTCCTAACATTTGGATGTACTGTATTTGTTATTTTTCCCGGCAGCTTTTGGCGTGCTGTGAATCAAACACGAAGCTTGTTGGTGTGGCTGAATGATAATCAGTGTTCTTGGCTTTTTGTTGTTGGGGGCTCGGCTCGCGATGTTAAGGGGTGATGGGGGTGTTTGCTTTAACAGAGTGGGTGTGCTGCATATCCGTAGGACGTGGAGAAAATGTACATGATGGCGTGTAAGGCGCTGATCCGGGCGGAAACGGCCAGGGAGGCGTACGAGGGACTGCTCAGCGAGGCCAGGATCAAGCAGCGACACCGTTATGCCAATATACGCGACTTCTATTGTTAACGGTTTAACCACATTGTCAGATTTGAGATTGTACACTACAACACTATTATTTTATTGTTTGTGTCAGATGGAAATGGTGATTGTTGTTGTTTTTGCTATGCAAATTAAAGTACATCGTAAGAATTAAATGCCTGGCTTGTCATCGGATATCCACCGCTTTAAAATTTTAAAAGTTTTATTACGAGTGAACGGTCGCACATTGAAAGAAATAATGTTTTTCACGTTACGTTTCAAGTTCTTCATGTTAAAAGAAGAAAGCAGTACTTACTCAGCACGGTTTAACAAAATTACTTAACTGCAAGTCGGCACTTCAACGCACAGTAAAACGTTTAGAGTTTATTTATAATTTTATATAGGCTACTTCTCTCTGTGGAAGCAGGAAATTTTATATAATGTATATAAATCGACATCAAATTTTTTATATTTTCTCTGCACGCATGCTGAATATGAATTGTCCACTTCTTCCGTTGGTTGTAAAGAATTACGAAGCATTATTACGCTATGATTCTCTGTGGTATGGGTATTCGGGAATATTTGCAATAATTAACAATAAAATGATTTTATGCACGAAATGTTTTTCACGCGGACACGGTGGTCAGTGGTCACTGGACAGTGGACACTAAAAATTACTAATCGATAGAAGTAGGCAAAGCTCCTGCAAAGTTGCAAACCGCCTAACAAGCACATGTACAGTCGATCTGCAGTCTGTCTGCACAGAGCGGCATCTGCTTTATGTAAACGATCTGATACGAATTTAATGGCCTTAAACCAGATTTATGCGTCTTTCTACGCTTTCACATCGTAAGAATCTCCATTATTATCCTATAAGCTGATCGCGATCAAGATTATTTCTGCCCGCTTTCATAATGATCAAAATAAATGGACATTCCTTCGTCAGTCGCACATACACAAGACTGAAGAGGCCGCCAAAACCGGTCAGGCCACCGGCACCGACACAGACACGATAAACGCTGACTCATCACTACTCGTGCGTTGACTGCAGTGGCTGGCTCGCAGTAGCAGCCACTCCCTGTATGATATCATCAATTTTCACTCTTCGCCCAGTACCCAGCTGGTTCTGTCTGTACTCTTGTAGAGTGCTGCACTTTTTGATTTCCTGATATTTTCGCGATTCTGTTCCTCCCTGATTCCTTTTATTTTTCCGAAGGACTATGCATTGTACATTTTGAGCACAGAAAGAACGTTGTGTCTGTGTTTGTTGTTGTCCACTCTGCACTCCGCGCTGTCAACGGTCGCTCGCGGTTTTCCTGCGCCAGAGCAGAGTGCAGTGGTGCTCAGTTCCTGGTGCGCTCTCTGGCTCTTGCAACATCTTTTGACCGTGAATTTCTGAGCAGATCGTACCGTTGGCATTGAAGGCAGTGCGGAGAACAACGCACAGCGGAGATACACGTCTGATTGTTCAACGGGAATTCGTGCTAGCCGTTACGGCGTCACAAAGTTTCTGTACAGTACCCACTACCCAGTACCCACTTCGTTGACAGCTTTTCCATCCTGATCATCATTGTCAATTTGATTGACTATTTGCAACTTTTCGTCCTTTAAGTTTACCTTTGTGGTGGAATCCTTGCATCCCCGAGAAAGTGCACAGATCCGCTGTATTTTTCCGCAACACAGTAAGTCACCGTAAACAGGTAAACAGTAAACCGTAAACAAGCGCGTTTCATCGTGAATTGCCGTACCTGCACACTGCACAGTTCATCGGGAATTTAGTAAGTAAATCTGTAAATGATTAAATCAGTTTACTGCAAGTTGGAGAATCGCAGGAGCTCTCTGCGACGGCAGGAAATTTGGGTTTCAACCGGCGCAAGGGGTTCCCGCTGCAAAAATCAAATCAGCGAAAATTTCAGCTTAAACTGTTTAATCAGTTTATGAGTTTAATGACTTTAATCAGTTTAGTCCGTTTAAAGTTAAACTGTTTAAGGAGTATTTTGTCATTGTTTTGAATGGGTGTTATGCCATTAATAATCATTTAATCAGTGCCATCATAGTTGTCCGATTCAGTTTAGAAAGCGTAAGCAAATTCATATTTTGCACGGTTTTCGGGGCATTGGAATTTTAATAAACACACTGGAATTTTATTGAACAATCGCACAGTGCACGAGCACTTAGTGATCGTTTGAAATTTTAATGTTGTTAATTTTTTGCAAAATTGCTCGCCGAGTTTTTAAATTTTTTTTGCCAAGTGTAGCCTGTCAAGTGTCAGTATTGTGTACCGTAATAAAAAATCAGTATTTTTGCGTAATTACTTTACCGTTTTCCGTTGGAGAATAACGGTGATTGTGAATTTGAGACAGGCTGTTGCTTTTCAACAGGCGCAGGCCGCAGTGATGCCGGAAGTGGAGGTTGTGCCCGCGGCGGCGGCGGCGGTGAAGACGGAAAAAATTCCTACACGGAAAATTTATTGCGCGTACGTTAGTTGTATTGATGAAAAAATAATATTGCCGATTACGTTACCATAACTTTCGTTGCGTAATTGCAAAATTGCGAGTGCTGCGCACTTTGATGCTACGAGTCTGGACGAATGGACGATGATTCTCAATTTCTTGTCATAATTTGTGTGCAGGTACTGCGGCTTAACCGAGCAACGATTCCTGGCCTACTGCGGTGCGGAGAACTGCCAGAAGTGGTTCTGCAACGGTACTCGTGATGGTCTGAATAAAAGGTACGTTAACTGTTGGAAAGAGTAGTGCGGAATTGAGAAAACGCTTAACGCTTCTTCGGAGTTGTGAGAAAACTGAATACGAAAACAATTCCGGTTTAGGTTTTGCTGATCTGGAGATATTTCGGTTTGTGTTGCCACTTCAGCCGGATTTATAAAACGTAAAACGCGTTTACCGGTTTAGGTTTTATTTGTATTTATGCAGTTTATTTAAGCGTTCACAGTTTATATTTTTAACGAATATTATTAATCTTTTAATGCTTTTTAAATTACGGTAATTTTCAACGTCTTTTACGGTCTGATGTTGCGCTGCAAAATGAGTAAATCCGGGGGGAAACGATGATTTTGAATTATTGGCAGAAGTGCGTATTTCAAAAGTTCAGTCATGTTGCTTTGTTAATATTCGTGAAAAATTCGGGATGGCTGAGTTTTAAACAATAAATTCTAAATATTCGGTTCAGACTTGCTACTTTTACAGCCATATCGTTGCCCATTGTGGGAAGTCCAAGCACACGTCGGTGATGGTGTTCCGCGGGATCCCAGCGGGAACCTCCAAGCGCAAAAGCCAATCCGTGGACTTTATCGTCAAAAACTGCACCTACCAGCCGAAATGCGCCAAATGCAACTCCAACAACATCTTCGATCTGGGCACGGAGGATACCGCCGACCCGTACAATCCCGCACGCACCTGGTGCCGCAAACACGCCGTGGTGGAGGGGAAAGTGGGGAAGAATCAGTGGAATACGCTGGTGGCGGCGCACAAGGAGGACGAGAAGGCGCAGCAGCCGGAAGAGGTCTTCTTCATCCGGTTGCCGTACTGGTTGATGCCTGTCGTGCCCAAGGCCAGCATGAAGGACAACCGGGAGTGGTCGCTGAAAATGTGGGGTCTGGAAAAGCTAGAGAGGGAGGTGGATATTCTGGAGGAGTTTTGGCGCTGGAAGCCGGAAGGGACCAAAGATGAATTTCTGGACTGGAAGGTAAGGTTCCATCTGCATCAGTTTGAGGAAGTTTCGTATTTTTTGTTATTTCGATTGATAATACGGCACTTGACAGTTTTGAAATTAACTAAAGCGACTAAAAATTAATTAATTTCATGCTAGCAGTTTTCATTTTAAAGTTAAATGCCGTATATTACTGCACTTTTTCTCTCTGCGATTTTTCTGTTTAATTCTGGAGTTCGGTTTAATTTGTTTCGGTTCTATATTATCTTTAAAATCAAATTAATCAATCGATTCTGTTATCGCTTATAGTTTTTAATTATATTTTTCGATTTGCCGTATGTTTCTGAATAATTTTGGAATCGTAGTTCGATTGAGATCAGTATTTTGTCCTGATTTCCGTTCGTAATTCTTCTGATTTTTATATTATCTTTAAGATTAATTAATTCTGGTTCTTTGTATTAACGTTTTAAAAACTTCTGAGTTTTGGCAAGTTTCGTTGGTTTTTGCAGACGGCCGTGGATAATTTTGTCGTGACGCGGAGGGTTGACTTTTCGGACCGGCAGGAGTACGCCGCGTACTGGGACAGTCTGGTTATGGAACTCTCTCGCCAGGAGAAAGGCACCGTGGAATCCCTGCCGCCGATGCGCAACCTGGAAATCAAATGGATGAGCGCCTACGATATCGAAGTGAAAGTCCCGCAGGGTATCTTCACGGAATTCCTGGAGATCGGGCGTCCCATGGAAGTTTCCTGGATGATCCTGAAGGACGGCGAAGAGTACTCCATGTGGCAGCGCGACGCCACCATTTCGGCCCTCCGCCAACTGGATACCGGGCATGTCGTCGTAGTGCACTGCCTGTCGGCCGTCAATCCCAGTCATCATCGTGTCAGCCGTGAACTGCGCTTCCGCATGGTGTATAATGATGTGAATTATTGGCGGATGAACCAGGCGCTGTACAAACTGGAACACGATCCCAGCTGCGTCTCCCAACAGGTCGGTTCGAATTCGAACGGTTTTGAGCCGCTTTTGAATGAAATCAATTCGAAATCAAAATGAAAAACCAATTGTTAAAAATCTGTTTTCCGAATATTGTGAAATCAAATATTTAATGAAATATTGTTACGGTAGCAGCGTTATTTTCAACAGTCACTAAATTTAACTAAAAAAATTATGGTTAAATCTGAAAATTATTTGAATGGAAATAGAATATAGGTTTATTTAGATGAAAATAAAACAGTTAATTATTTGAATGGAAATAGAATACGAGTATAGAATTATTTAGATGAAAATAAATACAGTAAATTTTAATTGCAGATTCTCGAGACCCCGTTTGCTTTTGAATTGGTTTGATTAGAACCTTGAAATATGAAACTTTAGAAATTCTGATTATGAAATTTATTACGATATTTGAAATTTTGAACCTTGTCAACAGGTGCTGGACATGCTGTTGGGCCGCGTGGTGATGACACAGGAACTGCTGCATGAATGGCGCTCCAATTTCGCTTCCACGGCGTTGGAAGCGGCGGAATGGGAGAGTGATGGGGAAGAGGACGAAAAAACCGTTGCTGAGGCCCTGCCGCGCACGATGAACGGGAGTCTGGGCAAGTTCGTCCCCCCGCCCTTCCACACCGAGTACGTGGATGCCGGGAATGAGTTTCGCAGCTACAACTTTGACCAGATGATTTTGCCGCGGCTGAATCGCCGGCTGAACGAGCGCCAGCGGCTGGCGGTGGATATGGCGCTGAAGGCGCCCGTGTGCTTAATCCAAGGCCCACCGGGTACCGGGAAGACAGAAACAGCGGCGGCCATTGTGGTCAATTTTACCAAGGATCCCATGGGGAAGATTTTGGTATGTGCGCCCAGTAACGTGGCCATTGATCATCTGACGCTGAAGATTGCCAAGATCAGTAAAGATATGAATATTTTACGATTATTTGCGCATACCCGCGATGTGGAGTGCCTGGCGGAAGGGGTACGCAAGTACACGGTGTTTAGCAAGTTCAAAAAGGAGCGTCCACGGGAAGCCATTACGGAGGCGGCGTTGCGGGTTTATGAGAAGGAGTGTGTTAGAAAGGCGAAGATTGTGTGCTGCACGTGCAATGTGAGTGAGATAACATTATGGCCAAGTTTTTTCGGTATTTTCTCACCCATCACTTCATCAGTATTTATTACGTATTTTTTATTTATATTTTTTCCGTATTATACAGAGATTATACAGAGATTATTAGTAGATTTTTTCCGTATTATACATTTTTCCGTCGACATCGTAGTTACTTCTTGAGCAATTCTTATTTTCACAGATATTAACTTTTTTTATATGGTATATTTTTTCCGTATTATAGACGTCGTATTTTATTTCTGCAAAGTGTGTACGTGCTACTATGCGACACAATATTTTTATGTGTTGTCGGTATGCTAATTGTTTACCTGTTTTTGTTTCTCTGATTTAGAGTGCCGGACTGATGAGTTTGGATCGCGTTGCTTTTCCCTACGTGTTGATCGACGAAGCCGCACAAGGAATGGAGCCGGAGTGCTTGATTGCCATCACCCGGGCATGCGAAAAGGTTTCTGAACGACTTTTGGCAATGGTAATAATGGCTAATGCTGCTGTTATGTGATTTACAGTTGGTGTTGATCGGCGATCCAGCACAGTTGGGCGCCGTTGTCCGCTTTCCCAATCTGCAGAAATCCCAGCTGACCACCTCGCTGTTCCAGCGCCTGTGGAAGGTGTGTCCGTGGATGATCCTGACCCAGCAGTATCGCATGCACCCGGCTATCTCCAAAATGATCTCGCAGATCACCTACGAAGACCAACTGGTTAATGACCAATGCGTCCGTAAGTGAATTTGCCATGGTCACATCGCTAGTTGAATTTTAGTTATCGTAATGTGATTGGTTTTAAATAATTAAATTTAATTTTTTTGACACTCTAGTTGAATTTTAGTTAATTAAAAGTATTTTAGTTTTGCTTCATTTCTACTCATCTAATGACCGGAAATTCGTCAACGGTCACTGAGAGCTGGAGTTTTGTTGAACTGTCTCAGTTTTCTTTAGTTTTCTTTGTATTTCGTTTTAAGATTTCTTATTCTGCGGTTTCGTAGTTTTCTTAGGTTTTCTTATCCCTCATGGCGGTCGGGCCATGTGACGGTCGACGCGTTAATGTTTTCGGGACGCTTTTATTAGCTGTGGCTTATTGTTATCTGAAATGACTAGAGTAGTTGAATTATTTCTAAAGGAAAGTTGTGGACGTTTCTTTTTTGTGTGGTTTGCAGTGGCTCGTACATCCGCATCGATCCTGCTGAACGACATCTTCGGGATGATTGTGCCACTGCCGGATCTGGTCCGCTACCATGAACTGCTCTTCGCACCCGACGGGATGATCTACGCACGGGAGGGCATCATTCCCATGTTGTTTGTCAGTTTGGCGCGCAATGACGAGCTGTCCGGCAGTGGGACGTCGTTTGTCAATATGGCGGAAGCGCACTTCATTGCCCGCCTGGTGGCCAATATTCTGCACGAGGGCCATGTCTTCTCCATCCCGGGCCTGGAGAAGCCCCACCCGGAAGAGATTGGCATTATTACCTTCTATAACGGACAGCGGCCGCAGCTGGAAATCGAGCTCAAATGTCACCCGCGTATCAACCAGCGCTTCAAGGTGTGTACATCCTTTTCGGTCATTATTTTGCCGTTGGACAGATTTCTCTTTCATGCATCGAAATGAAACTTGCGTTTGAATTCCTAGGAATTAAATGAACGATTTGCATTGTGAAATTCCTTGTGAGCGCTTTCGTGCCTCGGCATAACGTATAGAGTGGTATCAGTTTGTGCATTCGGCTTATTTTTAAAATGGATATTTTACAACGATTTCTACGCACATTAATTTTAAGTGTAACTGTTTCTGTACAAACTTTTTCATTTTTGGTTACCAGTATATGTTTGTTGGAATGGAATTATTAAGTAATTTTACAATTTCGATTTATTGTAGCTGGTTTTGTATAGTAAATTAATACTTTCATTTGGTTTCATGAATTGTGCACTTAAGAATCCGTTACAACGCTCCTGCTGGATTTTGATGTTTCTTAACTTGTTTTCGATAGTGAGATTAAAATAATATAATAGAAATAACGTGGGTTGTACAGTTTGTATCGATTTGGTTTATAATGGTAAAGATGCTGATATGTTGTGTGCTATGTGTAGGATATCGAGATTAACAGTGTGGATGGGTTCCAAGGCCGCGAGAAGGACATCATTATTTTATCGTGTGTTCGCTCCGCCGACTCATACCGCGGCCGGCGCACCCTTGGCTTCACCGACGACCCGCAGCGCCTGAACGTGGCCATGTCGCGCGCGCGCAAGGCCCTGATCGTCGTGGGCAGTTGGCACATCTTCTATCATTCCGACATGTGGCGTCGCTACTTCCGCTACATTCCCGTCATCCAGGCGGAGACCGTGTGCCATCTGCTACCGCTGCCCTGCAGCACCAAACCGCCCTGCAAGATCTGCCCGGATGATCAGGGGCTGCGCATCCAGCAGGCCATGGTCAATATGGGACACTAGTGCTTTTTTGTATTTTGTAACGCTGGTCGTTCATGCTGTATGTTGTGCTTTCACTGGAATTAACTGCTGGTCAAACCGTTATCGCGCTTGTCGCTTGATGATGTGGGGATTTTTCTTGGGTGGAGTTTTTGTTGCTGCGTTTTACGTCTTTTTTTATCGCGTTGCACCGCTTGTTAACCACATTCGGCCTTTTTTTGTAACGTTGAAATGGGCGGAGCATGCTGATTCGCTGACGGCGGAACAGGAGCGAGCTTTTTGTGGGAACTGCTCAGCCGAAGTCGATTGAATCGACTTTTTGTTCAGCTAAAATAAAATTACTAACAATACATACGTGATACGTTTGTGTTATTGTAATTGCTGTTCGGACCCCCAGACCGCAGTTTTAGCGGTTTAACACGCTTCACGCTGTGCACAAAATTTAAGAAATTCATTCGTCAAATAATTATATTGCAGTAGGTAAGCGTGCTCCGTAGTCTGTATAAAACAATTTGTTATTCACGTTATATACCGGTATGTTATTAATATTAAATAAATCAGTGATTGGCTGTTCGATGCACTGGAAACAACGGTTTCCGGTGCGTTTGTAACTTAGAACACTCTACGGTAATTTCTCGCATCGGGAAACATGCGATCGCCAGAACGATTGCAGTCGTGATGAACGATATAAACTGTGCTGGAAACCTTGCATTCCATACTCAGGGGTCGGTTCTGAGTCTTCTGACATGAAGGTGATGAAACGGCAGCGCGTTCGAAGTCCTGAATAACTACGAGTACCGAAAACATGTGCCGGTTCCGGTACTTATGAAGTGCATTAGGTGCAAGTACGAGTAGCGAAATATTTTGAACAGTTAACATATAATTTTCTACTTATAAAATTAGTCTATTTACTATCACAATAATTATGTAGAAATTTGAAAATTATATTATGTGAAATTATTGCTGCAGTTTAGTACTGGATGCGCGTTTCCACCATGAATAAACTGAAGTGCAGTTAATAAATAGCGCGGAATTAAGTATACTATTTTATTTGGACTCATTGCCTTTTAAACTCTTAAACGTTTAATTTATGTGTGTTTTCTTGTAAATTCCATTTTAATCAAGTACTAGTAATTATATTTTTAGAATGCTATTTAATACTGATAATTAAAAGCCGTGTTATCGGTTGTGCAGTAGACGACAATAATTACATTACACAGCAGTCTACAGTAGTGCACGTGTAGACTTCTAGACTGGTCTATCTACCGGTATATGCAGTCACGTTTGGGTGCACGTGTTGACGTGCACGTGCACTTCCGCCACAGAGGCATTTCCTGTTGGCATAAAATAATAATTATTATCTATGTACTGTATGAGCGGTTATGAATTAAGTGTGCCTCGATTTACTATGCAGCGGGCTGTACGTTTCTGCTGAACGGGCTGTATTGCTTACTCATAAACGGATATGTACAGGAAGTTTTTTTCGAATCGAATCCGTCGGCTTTCTGGTTCAACCGGTAGCATCGAACAGCTGGAAGCAGTGTGCACTGTGCAACTGCTGGAGTTTTCTGCAAATATGTACGTCGATCATTATCAATTTTTGCAGCCTATGCTATTCTGTGCTTGTTCGATTGACAGCCGTAATTACGGTTTATGTCATACGTCAGATATCTACGACACCATTGCTTTAAATTAACCACCAATATTAAATTTTCGGGTATTTTAAGTCCGCTATAAATTTGTTATACTCGTGATCATTTTGCTCGAAATTCAAGATTTTCGATATTATCTCTTCGATACACAATGTTTGACTGTGTACTACTTACTCTAATTCACATAATTAACGTTGCTCGAATTACTGTATTTTGATCATATTTTGATAGCGGGTATCGCTCGTGTTCACGTGTTGTTTGGAGTAAACGATGACGAATTATGAGCAGTTATCGCAAGGTGATTAGCGATAGGAAAGGACACGCGATAACATTATTGACGGATACACGGTTTGCCGCCAAATTCACGCCTCATTCGACATTACGCCGATACAGTTGTGACTGTTGTGGATACCGGTGGAAAATGGAATAAATACGTGATCGGCAATAGACCACGGATTAGGCATTTGTGCAGCCTCCAGATAATTGTGCATTATCGGCACGCAGTTCGACAACCCTGTCAGTAAATTGTTCCAGTTGGCAATATTTACGAGTACATCGGTTTGCTTATAAACATCACGTGGAAGGAAATCTATGCGGATTTTCTGCCATCTCAGCGCTGACAAGAACGGTTTCTGCAGTTCTGACGGCTGCAAAGAATTTCAGTGTATATGCGTTTACATCGGAAAGCAACGGCAACGCTACTGTACGCTTATAACACTATCGAACGCATCGGTGAAAATAAGGATCTAAGTGCCAGCGGGGACGAAACGCTAGGGTAGCTCATCTGCCTGATCATGCCAGTTGCCAAGGCGACAACTTCCGCCGACGGAGCGGAGATGCTTCCGGCGGATGTGATGCGATGCGCGTATGTATATGTATTTAATACTTATGTGCAACAGTTGGATATTTTTCTAACTCTTGTATTGCAGCCATAATAGTGATGATGCATGTATTCCTTCTGTAGATACTGTGGTTTGGACGACGCACAATACCTGACATTCTGCGAAGCGGAAAACTGCCAAAAATGGTTTTGCAATGGCAGCAGCGATTTTAGCAAAAAGTATGTATAAAGTAGCGTAATTATTTTAAAATTCGTGTTAAAATTTTTTTGGTATGGTAGAGAAAAATTTAATGGGACAAAATTAAACATCGAAGCTGCACCTGTACAAATCTCCAGAACAAGAAGCCAGAAACTTTTTTTCCGGAAATTTTTTTATGAAAACATGTTTTCTGAAGTTTTAATACGTTTTTCACTTTGCCTGCGATTATGCGCTGCTTAAGCTTGCCATTGCGAATGCGGAATAAAGCAATACTAATAAATAAAATAATTTATCATGCATGAATTTAAATTATAGCGGATACAAGTCATGTTGCATTTATGTTTCGTATCTGCCGTAAAATTACTTATCGGGCTCTTATGTAGAAATACATCAACCACCTTGCAGTAAATACAGGAACGTACAAAAGCTGTTTGCCTTTTTTTTAAAACTTTTAATTTGGTTTATTTTCATTGTACATAAACTTGAGCGTGTTTGAATTTACTCTCCTCGCATCTAATTACGTCCTACATTGATTTAACGTGCGAAAATGTTGCAAGTGTACAGAATAGCTTGGTAGTGGTACATTATGTAATAATTGTAAAATCTGTATGTGTGTACTTTCTGTGTACGGACTTGTGAATATTTTGTATCGCTAGTCTGAATCTTACTGTTATAAAGACGTAATACTGACCAATGAAAAACGGCATGAAATGAGACGGTCTCTTTACAGAAATATTTGGGTACAGCAGTTACATTATTGTACGCTTTTTGTTTATTCCGAAGTCAGTTGCATAAATTTTTATAGGGCATATAAGCCGTACAGTCACATCGTCGCCCACTGCACCAAAGCCAAACATACCGCAGTTTCGGTGTTTAGCGGCATCCCGGAGGGGACTTCCAAACGTAAACGTCAGTCTATGAAATTTATTTTCGATCACTGCACCTACAAGCCGAAGTGCTCCAGTACCAAATGCCGTTCACGCAACATTCTGGACCTCGGCGTGGAGGATACAGCACATCCGTTCGATCCCGAGAAAATATGCTGCCGGAAGGATGCGGTCCGTGCTCATAAAGTGGGGAGGAAGTTGTGGCACACGTTGGTGGCGGCCCACCCCGAAACCGGGGTTACTCAGTCGGTGGAAGAACCGTTTTTCATCCGCTTAGCGTCGTGGCTGGTACCGGCTGTTCCGAAAAAGATCATGCGGAAACACTCTAAAGGGGCTTTGAAAAAATGGGGTCTGGAGCGTTTGGATCGCGATTCTATCGGTTTCTTGGAGGAATTTTGGCGGTGGAAGCCGGATGGAACAAAAGAAGAGTTTCTTAACTGGAAGGTACATAAAAATTCTACTGTACCATACTTCGACGATGTGTTCGCAAGCCGATCGTTCTTACTATGTAGTATGTATATGTATAGTTCAGCATACATAGTAGTACTAGACAGCACAGCGAAACCAGATCTGATAATCAGAATGATCGTTGTGCTGACTCTAACTAATACTGTAATGGTAAGCGGTTTGCGAACGGATTCGAAGTAAAACAAATATTTCTGTGCTCTAGATCTGACAAAACATTTGCCGCATGGTTGACTACTATTAGGATGACCTTTATCTTTTCTTCTGTACAAGAGCCGAAATGTATCGACAGAAACTTTTTATTAGGAAAACAGCCAATGTACTTATCAGTATGCTTCCGCAGGTTTATACTAATTAAAATGATTAATTAAAATGATTGACAGTTGAGCTAACAAGGCAGCTGATATCGTCGGATATTTGGTTGTAGATGACTATTGACAGTTACTACGAAACTCGCAGGATGCAATTTACTGACGAGGGAGATTATTCCAAGTACTGGGATGAACTGGTGGCTGAAATAGCCCGCCAAGAAATGGGCACGGTGGAGTCCTTGCCACCCATTCGCATTCCGGAGGGACAAGAAGCCAAATGGTTGAACGGTTCCGACATCATCCTGACCGTTCCCTATGGAATGTTTACGGATTTTCTGGAGAGGGGACGTCCAGTGATGGTGGCCTGGGTGGTAATGAGTAACGGCGAAGAAAAGACGATGTGGTACCGGGATGCCACCATTTCCTGGATGAAACCAGGCGACAACGGTTCGACTATGATGCTGCATTGCTTCAAGGAAGTCGCTCGCGATGACTATCGCGAGAAGCGCAATCTGCAGATACGAATTGTCTATAATGATATCAATTTCTGGCGCATGCATCAGGCGCTGTACAAAATTGAGCATGATCCGAAATGTATGTCCAGGGAAATTCTGTACGCATTGTTGGGGTGTAAGATGGAAGCGCAGGAACTGCCGGAGGAAAGTGCGAGCGAAGCCGGCGAATCTATGAGTTGTGAAATGCTGGGAAGTTCTGACGAGTCCCATGATGAAGAAATTCAGGTGGAAAATTTTCAGCCTGTCGTGAAACGCTTTCCACGCACGATGATACGGTCTAATTTGCGGTTGATGGCACCACAACCGTTTTTCGCTGAGTACACCGTGAACGGGTACCAGCACGATTTCCGCCGTTTTACGTTCCAGAACATGAGACTGCCGGAATGCCTGAATAAAGGTCAACGCCAAGCCGTCAGGATGGCACTACTGAACACAGTCTGCTTGATTCAAGGCCCACCGGGGACCGGGAAAACGCAGACGGCAGCGGTGATTGTGGCCAATTTGGTTAAGGATCCGGAGGGGAAGATCTTGGTGTGCGCCCCCAGCAATGTGGCCATCGACCATCTGACCCTTAAGCTGATCGAAGCCAGCAAGGATTTCAAGATTCTGCGGTTGCTCCCGCATGGACGGGATATCGAGAGTGATGCCATGCCCGATGTTGTCAAGCAGTACACCGTCAACGCCCGCTTCGCCAAGGAGCGGTCGGGTCATGAAGCGACGGATGAGGAGATGCGGGCATTTGAGAAGCAGTGTGTCCAGGAGGCCCAGATCATATGCTGCACCTGTAACGTGAGTGCATCGTCTAATTTAAGGAAAAGTAATAGGTGTACGCAGTATAGGTTGTTTATTTCTGCGTTGTTAATGCTTCCAGGCAGATCACATTAGCTCAACGGTTAACGCACGCACTGTTACAACCTAAAGTACGGTTGTGGGTACGCGAATCGATGACCTTTATTTTCGCTTCTGTGATCAGAACGTTTTCACTGCACATTTTCGTTACGTGCTTAGAGCAAAAAATTTATACGCATAACCTTTGTAACAAAGACAAATAATTTTAATGACGTTCAAAATAATTTTAATAACGTCGAAAACTACGAGTGTTTATGTTGTTTCTTTCCACATTTGTAGAGCGCCGGTTTGGCCAGTTTGAGAGGCATTCCATTTCCGTATGTACTGATCGATGAAGCAGCACAGGCAATGGAACCTGAATGTCTGATCCCCATCACGAAAGCCTGCGAAAAGGTCAGTCACACTTTTCTGGGCTATTTGTTGACTTTTTAGCGGTTTACGCCGTTTCTTGTTACATTAGCGGAGTTGTTAACATAATTATGTATCTATATCTGCAATGAAATTATATGTAGCGCTTTTTTAAAACGGTTGCTGTGCGCATGAACGTTTTGTGGGCTCTGCAGCTGATTCTGATCGGGGATCCATCACAACTGGGCGCCGTCGTGCGATTTCCCAACATGCAGAGATCACAGCTGACCATGTCGTTGTTTCAACGCTTGTGGGAACAGTGTCCGTCGATTATGCTGACCACCCAGTACCGAATGCATCCTAATATTTCCGAGATGGTATCGCAGATAACGTATGACAACAAGCTAGTGAACGATCAGTCCGTTTGTAAGTACTGCGTCACTTATGTCACTTATACGGCGGAAACAGATTCTTGACAGATGCAGTGAAATATTAATTTGCAGATAATCGGCCACCGCCGACATCTTTCTCAGAACAACTGTTCGAAAGCGCTCCTCCACCATCCCAGTCTGGCGCATGCAAAAAGAAATCCGTTCCGATTTTATTTGTGGATGCGGGCTACAACGACGAGATATCGGCCAGCGGAACGTCATTCGTTAACATGATTGAATCGCATTTTATTGCCCGATTGGTGGCAAATATTCTTCATAACGGCGACGTATTTAGTGACCCCGCAAAAAAGCCAAAACCAGAGGACATTGGCATTATCACCTTCTACAACGGGCAGCGTCCACAGCTGGAGATTGACTTGAAAGTCCATCCACGCGTTACTGCGAGTTGCCTTGGCTCTGGTGTAAGTGTGGCTATGGCTAACGATCAGTGTGACAATCATTATAAAGGTCATCAGAGCATGTTTACTTTGGCTGCCCTAGCGGCTTTGATTGTTAGTATTTGTTTTCGCGATTGCAGAAAATCGAGATCAACAGTGTGGATGGCTTTCAAGGCCGAGAAAAGGAGATTATCATACTGTCGTGCGTTCGTTCTGCCGACACCTTCTGCGGTAGAAGCACACTGGGTTTTACCGATGATCGGCAACGGTTGAATGTGGCAATGTCACGAGCGAAAACCGCTCTGTTTGTCGTGGGTAGTCGGCGAATCTTCCAGCACTCTGCAGTATGGCGGCAATATTTTGAATACATTCCTCAAAAATCGCTGGAAGCTGTGTGTCACGCGCTACCGGAGCCGTGCAGCACCAAACCACAACCCTGTAAAGTTTGTCGATCCCGTCGTCCTGTTGTGGTCGAGGCAGTGGAGCAATAGCGTACGCGAAACACTGGTTTTGAGTCTTGTTTTCAATCTTCCAAAGTTTGTAGAAATTAAAAATGATTTTTTTAGTAAGCAAATTCCTTATAGCGGGTGGTTTTATGGTGTCAGTGCACACTGCTGTCATGTTGGGGTTCATGATTTTTTGTGTATACGATTCCCCATAGGTCTGTTTGCCTTGTTGCTTGTAGATAACGCTGATTGTTCAGCACATATACAGAAATATTGTGTATGAATTAGTTTTACAGTGAAAATAACACAGGTATCCGTGCAATGGAGTTCGATAGCGAAACAATAATTGTTAACCCTTATCTATGTATGGTTGTTCTTGGGCAATGACCAGTGCACAGATACATTACATCATTATACATAATCCCAAAATGATATGATCCAGAAGTTGAATCGGCAGACACCATTACCGTACATGCATTATCTCTATGCACAATATGTTACTCACGTTAATAAGTCAGCTATGTAGTCACTGACCGGAGGGCAGCGAAATTACTGCACCCATTTCACTTCGCGGGCAGACACCCTTTTTAATTTTGTATGAAACATCTTCGGGGCTTCTGTCGATTACATTTATTAATACATTAGCATTTTAGTCTTGTATTCAGAAGTTATAAAATTTAATAAAATTGCGCGGAAGAACAAGATCGCTGCTTCCGTCAAATTACACGGAACAGAAATACTGAAAGCTGGAACGGTTATTACGCTTGCGGTTGCATGACAGCCCTTCCAGGTTGCAAGTACAACGGATTCTTATTCCACGACATTTACGGCAATACTAACGTTTTCACCATTCAGGAGTAATTTTTTTACCGAAATAACTCAAAAATAGTCAACTACAAAGGAATTCGTAATAATCGTTATCAGGAATGTGTGCTTAACTGCATAATGCATACGAAGTATACATATTCCTATCGGTGGTGCAGTATACTGAATCCAAAGTATTTAATCTCTTTTTGCAGCTGTTAAAGCAAAAGGAACGATTTGAGATTACCACCAAATGTGTATGAATCACACTTCAAATTTAAATGGAGCTCGTTAAGGATTTTATTGCGTGCACGTGATAAATTGTGTTTCAAGCTGTCTACTGTACGTTACTAACTGATTATTAGCTCAGACTGGTTTCCGGCGATAGTTGCTGCTTCTGGAAAACTTCTTGTCACAATAGGTGTTTGCTAGAACAGGTTTTTTATGCATCTATCACCGTGTGACTGTGCGTATCCGGAAATGCACGCCACAAGCGTCTGACGCACTTCCTATTGCCATCAATAAATTTTCAGTCTGTCATTGCACAGAAAACCAAAACGGTTTTTTGTACGCGCAAGGAAACGTCTGTTGCAGTTTTGCTAGGATTGATGGGGTTCGTCTTATCGGCTTGATTTCTGTTGATCTGTCCCAATTTACCCACTTCTCAGCGTGAGAAAACTTCACTTTTGAAGTCCGTTATCCAATATGCCGGTTAAGACGGCACCGTTGCCTGAGTGCGCGTACGTTAACGTATCTCTGTCAAACTTTTCTGTAACTTTCTTTTTATTCGATTTGCGCATACCTTAAAATATTTTACAATAAGTTTGCGTTTATCTACATATCTTGCTTCCTTGTACAGGTACTGCGGATTATCGAAGCGTCAGTATTTGGCGTACTGTAACGCAGAAAACTGTCAGAAATGGTTTTGCAATGGTACTCAGGATAATTTGGGCAAAAGGTACGTAACACGTACGAGTATGTATCTGTACATGCATCGGTAAAGGACATCACGCAAAGGCGACCAACGTGGCGGGAAGCATCAAAGTACAAGATAGTTCATATTAGGAGCGAATTTGCAGTTATCACGCTAAATCTGTGCATTGTTCGTTTCTGTTACAGCCATATCGTAGCTCACTGTGGAAAAGCGAAGCACACAATTATCTCCGTTAGTCGACAATATGTTTCCACACTATATGAGCCTCAGTGCACCCAGAAATTGTGTACGGTGCGGAATATCTTTGAACTGGCTGTAGAAGACATTGGCAAGCCATTCAACAAGCGGAAAACGTGGTGCCGGAAACATGCTGTCGAAAAGGACCTGGTGGGCCGTTGCCGCTGGAATACCTTGGTTGCCGCACACTTGGAAGACGATCAGCCGCAAACGCCTGCACATACGCTTACATTCTTTATCCGGCTTTCTGCCTGGTTTCTGGCCTCCGTGCCGCAAGATATCATGGACAAGAACAAGGCAAAGTCGCAGCGGATGTGGGATGAATGTGCACTTGATAAAGACACTGTCGATACTCTAGAGGATTTCTGGCGTGGGAATCCGCGCGGAACAAAAAAGGAATTTAAGGAATGGAAGGTGAAATTTGCACTGAATTTTCTTGCGCAGTTATGAAATTGTCATGACCACGTATGGTGCTTGCTGTGAGACGCATGCTACATTTGGCACTGTTTTGCAGAAAATGATGAAGGATTTCCAAATCAACCAATACGACGCCTTTGCCGATACGAACGCGTATTGGAGACACTGGAACCGTTTGGTTCTGCAGCTATCCCGACAGGAAATGGACACCATAAAATCGCTGCCGACGATTGAGAACCTGACCGCTAAATGGATAGACAACGGTTGCAACGCGGATATCGAAGTGCTCGTGCCACAAGGCGTCCTCACGCACTATCTCGAGAAAGGTCAACATGTGCGCGTTATTTTTCCGATTGTACAGGTTGAGGGTAGTAAGATGAATCGTACTGCGACAATCTCCGGCAAGAAGCCGGCGGATAATGGCGGCGACCATATTACCATCCACTGTATTGATCCAGTTGACCGGGCAGAAGACCGTGTGACCGAAAGGTTAGAAATGCAGCTGCTGTGCAATGACGTCCACTACTGGCGAATGCTTCAAGCTCTTTTCAAAGTGCGAAACGATGGTATGTGCATGTCACCGCAAATCTTGGATGCTGTACTGGGACGCTGGACGCTGCTACAAGCAGCGCCGTACCACGCGAACTCACCGGATCCCGCCGGATTAGGAACTTTTTATTGGCAGCTTGCAAGTGAACAGCACATTACAGATGTGGCTGAGGAGGTGACTGATGAAGAGACGGCCGAGGTCGAAGTCCAACCCTTGCGCATCATTACAACTACAAATACGCTGTCAGTCCACCACAAACCGCGGCCGTTCCGCAGGGAGTACGAAAATTCCGTGGCAGGATTTCGTGATTTCTGTTTTGACCCTGAAAGTCTCGCGGTCGCAGCTCTGAACGCTAAACAGAAGGAGGCTGTTCAAAAGGCGCTGCTGAACACCGTGTGTCTAATCCAAGGACCACCAGGCACCGGCAAAACGGAGACGGCGGTAGCGATTATCCGCAGCTTAGCACTTCAAGATCCTCAGGCGAAAATTCTCGTGTGCGCGCCCAGTAACGTGGCCATCGATGACCTTACTTGGAAGACAGCGCGTGATAACAGCAGTCTGAAGATTTTCAGACTACTACCCCATGGCCGCGATATAGCATGTGTGGATAAACGTGTTGAAAAATACACCGTAAACTGGAAGTTCAGTCAGCAGCATGGTTCTCCGAATTTGCACGAAACAGAGATGTGGGACGTTAATGAATTCGAGCGAAAATGTGTTAAAGAGGCGCAAGTTGTTTACACCACATGCAACGTAAGAACTAACCTTAACATTAAAAATTTTTACCGATCTGGGAATTAGTATCAAAGGAAACAGCCCGGTGCATGGTACCACTTCTGTATACGAACTATGCAGTAAACCACCTTTTTGTGTGTATACAGTATTTCGCTTTCACGCACTCCAAAATACTTGTCTGTAGTGCCCTTTCTATATCATTTTGCGGCCGAATAACTGGAAAAAACTTATGACTTGACATATTGATACAGATTTTACTTTTCAGAATGTCTTTTACAGCCAAGTTGCAAGATTGGTATTAACCAGGTTTTCGGTACACGACAGTGCATTTAAACTTTTATTCATTTTCAATTACCCCATCTCGGCATAAATGGTATTCATGCCAAATGCATACAAATTTTTCGGCTAGAGAATGACATAAAATGCTGCAAAAAAAGCGTTTCAAAGTGCGCAAAAGCGAAAGTTTAGTAAATGTATACGATGGTATCATGCATCGCTATTTTCTTTAAAGTGATCGGTTTGACGTGCAAAAGATTAACCTGCTTAATTTCTACGTGTGCCATTTTGCAGAGTGCCGGACTGAAATCCTTAGAAAGGATTCGTTTTCCGTATGTGCTCATTGATGAAGCGGCACAAGCAATGGAACCTGATTGCTTGATCGCCATAACCAGGGCGTGCGAAAAGGTCCCTATACTGATTTAATATACAAAATTATGCGCAATAATGCACACGACATTGCATGTAGCCGGACATATTTTAACCTTCAGTTTTGTATTCTAGCTGGTGTTAATTGGTGACCCGGAGCAGCTCGGGACGGTTGTAAGTTTCCCGAATCTCCAGAAATCGCAGTTGGGAAGGTCGCTGTTTGAGAGGCTGTGGGGAGCGGAGCGATTTCCAGCGGGTGCTCGTGTCACGCTGACCCAGCAGTACCGTATGCATCCAGCCATTTCCATGATGGTGTCGCAGATCACTTACGAAGACCAGTTGGTGGATGACGGTTGCGTTTGTAAGTGTTTAAAACTGTTCAAATTAATACGTATTTTACAGTACGAAGTAGTTGCGTTTGAATGGCACTCGTAACATTTTCTGGGCGCTTCAATCTGCAGTGCGCCGAGCTTCGGCATCGACTGTTCTGGACCGCATTTTCAAGTACTCTACGCAACACCGTGTTAATAAAAAACGCGCTTTCTTAAACGCAAATGGATTTTCGCGAAGAGTGACCGGTGATATTCCCATGGTTTTTGTGGATTTGGCGCATAATGATGAATTGTCGGGCATCGGTACATCCTTTGTCAACATGGGCGAGGCGCACGTCATCGCACGCCTGGTGGCTAATATTCTGCATAAGGACGAAGCCGACGCAACCATGAAACCATCCCCAGACAACATTGGCTTAATAACATTCTACAATGGGCAAAGGTCACAGCTGAGAATCGATTTGCAGCGCCACGCTGATGCCCATAGCCTGCCGCACGTGGTACGTTCAGTCGAATTAAAATAATAAGATGTAGACATATTGCGAGCAGTTCATTCGTACGCTTCAGCCTTGACGATACGCTGCACGTACCGTATACTGTAATCAGTACGGTATGTGCAATAGTTAAAAAGCGATTTACATGGATATTGATGACTGATGTTATGAAAACCCGCAAATCCAATGTTTCCAGGATATAGAGATCAACAGTGTGGATGGATTTCAAGGACGGGAGAAGGACATTATCATCTTATCGTGCGTCCGTTCATCTGAAACGTACATGGGCCGGCGCACTCTGGGCTTCACGGATGACAAACGGCGTCTAAACGTTGCACTGTCCCGCGCGAAGAAGGCGCTGATTATTGTGGGCAATAGCGAGGTGTTCGAGCATTCTGAGCTTTGGCAACAGTATTTTCAATATATTCCTCGTGAGCCCTTGGACATGGTGTGCCGTTTCCTGAGAATGTTATGCAGCACCCTTCCTCGTGGAGGATGTCAAATCTGTCCGGAAGGCAGCAACCGACGTGTTCAGTCCGCTATGAGAGCTTTCCAAGTTCGGCAAGATTTGGGCAGGTGATCCAGAAAAAAAGATCAAACAGTTCTTTTGCTTGCAAAAGCATATTAGAATTCCCGGGCAGTCCGAATTTTTTGTCTTCCCAACCGCGGCAGTCGATTTCAACACTGCTACGCGGAATATATAAAAATTAATACAAATACAAGCAACGTTTTAGCCATTTTAACAACCGATACTCTTTTGTTTTATTTTGTCTTTTCTTCGGGTGATGCTCGACATTGTAACTTTTGGTGTTGGCAAGACTAAAATGAAAACTGAAAGAAAATTTAAAAATAAAAAAAGCTAGACAAAATGACAAGTTGACAAAAGATTAATATCGTACAGCAGTATGACAGCAAAGGATTTCCAAGTAAACACTCTGCTAGCCACTGCTGGTTGACATACCTACAGTATGCAGTTCGTGCGCTGACCTTTATGCGCATTGCTGCATATTCTACGATACAGACACTTTTCGAACAGATTGGGTAGGGAAACTATTTTCATAGATAAGAGTAGTGAAACGCTTAGAGTAGTGATCCACATTTTGTAACTTCTAAATCTGGCCATAGCCGGTTTCCTAAACGATTTCATGAGAAATGATGCCATTTGCACATGCTTTAGCTACTGGCCAGGAAGCTTTGTTCTTTGTACCGTGTGACAGCACTTTGTTTTACTTTTTAACCACATTGCTCGTGCTGCAAACGCTGCGGATCATTTCCCTGGATAGATCATGGGCGGTGACCTTTATTGCCACTTGTACACGGCATTTCACCCGATTTAATCGCATTAATTTGGTATGCAAGATTCTCTGGAATGCGGAATACGGATACATCGGAATCACCGATAATCCGCAAGGCGGTTCTTGGTATCCTTTCCTGCATCCATCCTACGCTAGTCCTTTTTACCTTATTAATTGGTTTTGGACGCCTGTTATAATGACTGAGGCCGCGTATGGTGCGACATTTTGGCAGATCTATTTGTAGTACAGTACGTCGCAGTGGTCGGGTGAACAACATTAACGCAACGTCCGATGCTTTAACAAAGCAGCAGGAGAATTCGGCGAATTCAGAAAGAACGTTAAATTTGCATCCTACACTCGCTGCTCTTATTGTTGGCTACGCTGATTATTACAGTCATTGTCGCCATACATCACGTACAATGGCACAAGGTATTTTTACGATAACGGATAACCTACTGGGTGGCGTGTCTGCTATCGGCAGTCAATCCGTTCTTGTTTAATATACATAACGCCCTTGAAAAGCTGGTGAAGCGATGTGCACGGACACGTCGCGGTGATAATGCCGTTCAGTCTACGCAACAAACGTGTTAAAAAGGCACGGGATCTGCTACCATCGGAACCAATAACGAAAACCTTGTCGTTGTTGGCTAATAGCTTTTTTTCTGCGGTTTATACCTATGCTGTTTATACACTATGTACTTACTGAAACGCAGTAAATACGGCTGCATAATATATTACACAATATCGTAATTATCATTTACCGTATATGAAGCACAGCATTCCTTATTAATTTTACTTATCAGCAAAAAAGCTAAAGTTACAGTACTAACTCAACTCACTAGTCACTACACTCCAAGTGTGCAGTACGGATGCTTTCGCAAATGCGCCATCCAAAACAACAGGCGGTCACAGACTGTTATATCTGCCGGTCGCCATAATCATCGGCTCCTTTGACCAGCGGCCCGATGCAGCGTGGTGAATCATCCTTAAGCCGCAGCTCCCACGATTTTCTGATAACGCCAGACTCGTTACCGGCTCACCACTGTCCAGTGTTACAGGCTGGCAGCTGACGCGGCACTTCATGAATTGACCACTTACACACACCTACCACTTACACACACAACCTATGTGTAATCAGTGCCCTTTGATTTCTGAGATTTGTATAAGCTTCGATTCTTCTCCGCCTAAAATTTTGTGGACTTGTTGTATCAGGTCAGTTTAACCATAGTGCGGTTTTAATCTTTCAATAGCGAACGTCCATCCACAGACTGCGGTTTCATAAGATGTCGTCAACAGCAGCAACGGTTGTTAAACAAGAGGCGGACCTCGATGACTGCCCGCGTTTTGTCTCACGGCACAACTGGTCGGCTACCAGTAGGGATGACCTTCTGCAGATCCTCCGAAGTCGCCGTTTTGATCCTGGGCGACATTCCTGAAGATTTTCTCAAAGAAATCAAAGAATTTGCTGATGTGTATGTTCTGCATGCCAGCCAGCAAGAAAGCATTATCAACCCCGCCGACTATGACAGTGCTCTGGAGTTGTTCTTCCGTCTGATGGATACTTGTGCGAATAAACTAGATCACTGTCGCTTTGTCTTCGTTGGGGCATGGTTACAGGGAGGAAGATCAAGCGGAGACCCGGCATCCTCAACTTTACGTTATTACAGCAATGGAATGCTTATTTGCGATAACCTTGCCGTTGGACCGGATATCGAAGTGACCTGTACTGCTGCAAAGTCACTCGCCATCCATGAAATTACTCCGAAGCCAGTGAAAGTTGCCACTGTTCACTTACCTTGTCCTGGAGTACGACATAGAAATTGCTGTTCGATTGAACAGCTGTTTGAGTGGGATTGTGTGACATGCGGTCAGCTGCTGGAATATGGTTTTGACGAGCATTTCTACTGTGGATGCGGGAAAGCCCCGGCAGTGTCGTTCGTGTTCCGTTGCGCGCATGGTGGAGGATTTCTGTCGTCGAGCAGACAGATCTGTTGTGCGCGTTAACTGAAATGCAGCCGCCTCCAGAACTGAACATCCTAATTCTAGGTGAGTTGGTTGGTTGTCCTCTCTTTTTTTTTATTGCATTCTGAAGGAAATCTGTGGTCATCACTTTGTAGTGATTAAAACACTTTGATCGTTTTTCACTAGCCAACTGCAGTACATTTTACTAGCTGGTTTCTTCAGTTAATGTAGAGAAATTTTTTGCGGGCGTTGTGTACTGTATGCTGCGCATTTATTTACTTACTCAAACGTAACCAGTACGTACCCGACGTGGAGAAATCGAAACAGTGTCTCATATCTATGTAAATGTTCTGGGAACTGGTATTTCAGGTAATAAGTTCTGCTCAAATATTCTTCGAGCAGAAGCGTTATTTAACCTTTGAGTTTCGAAAGTGAGCGTTGTGTCCTTATGATCTCTTATTACGGACCTTTCGACTGCGCCTGCAGCGAAAGGAACAGCGCTGTCTGTAAGTGTAAAGAGTAGCACATATTCGGTCTCAAATCAGAGGGAAACAGTAAAGATTAGTTCAAGTTTTATTATATAGACGCTTTATAATAATTACTTGCATACAGTGCTGTTTGTGTACTAAGCTTTGATAATTTTGTTTACTGTATTTCTGTTCACAGTATTGTGTTAATGTGTCGTCGCAAAGTTAAAAAAAACGGTTTTTAGATCCGCTTCGCGAAGCGGCGCTATCAGTGTCATAACTCCTAAGGTATCGATGTATCATAAGGTAATGAATGGTCCACGAGGTGCAGTAAAATTCATTTACGTACTGTATCGTGCTGTACTGTATACGGTATAATTATGTACCGTACTGTGTTGTAGTAGATTGTATTGGACTGCACTTACCACATTCTCGTATTCCTGTTCGTTATAAGCAGAAGTATAAGCAGAAGTTACTGTCATATTAACCAGTTGTCTAAGCATTTACGAGATACGAGTACTGTATAAAACCAAACTCCTTTCCGCAGGTGAGACCGGCGTCGGCAAATCCACCTGGTTGAATGGAATAGCTAATTTTTTGATGCACCCAACACTCGACGCCGCCCTTACCGACCCGCAGGCATTAATTCCAACTCGCTTCACAATGACCGATCGGAGTCTGCAGCAGCGAGTGGTGTCCATGGGGGAAAGTGACAACGAGCACAACAATGTCACAGGTCAGTCCGTAACGCAGCTGCCGAAGACGTACGTTCTGAAAAAGGGCGATACTATCGTATGTTTGATTGACACACCGGGAATTGGTGACACGCGGGGCGTGGATCAAGACAAAAAGAATTTCGAATCCATCATGACGCATCTGTCTAACCTGGAGAAAGTTCATGGCATCTGTATTCTGTTGAAGCCTAACGATTCCCGCTTGAACGTCATGTTCCGTTTCTGCATCAAGGAGCTGCTGACGCATCTGCACCGGGACGCATGCCATAATATGGTCTTTGTGTTTACACACACACGATCCACTTTTTATCGTCCAGGTGATACGTTCCCGGTTCTGAAGAAATTGCTCCAGGCCGAAGGAGGCTTGAATATTCCGTTGAATCTGGATACGGTCTACTGCATGGACAGCGAAGTGGTGCGTTTCATGGCCGCCGCGAAATCGGGGGTGGAGCATGCGGCAACGGAGATGCGGAGTTTCGGTGAGAGCTACCAGAAGTCGGTGGAAGAGACGAATCGCTTGTTACATCACATTACCACACGAACTCCCCATGTGCTGCAGAATACGCTGTCACTCAACGACGTGCGTCGAATGATTTTGACGTTTACCGAACCGCTGGCGCACGTGACCCTTAACGCTCAGACCAACCTCAAGTTAGCCCAAGAAAAAGTGAAGAAAATCGAGGAGACGCAGTTGAGTAAGCAGCAGCTGCAGCGGGAACTGTACGTGCCGGTGGTGGATCTGCAAGCAGTGGCTCTGGGCTATCCACGGACTGTTTGCACATCTACCTCCTGTATCTCTCCGCGTAATCGGCCAGAAAGTGGATTACAGTACATGGTGTCATGAGCATTGCTATTCGTTGGGGATTGAACTCGGGAAGTATCCTAATCCGGAGCTCCAAAAATGTACCGCAATGCAGCCCACGGGATGGGTGTGCGGTCACTGTGGATGTTCCTGGGAGAAGCATTTGCATATCGCCTACGAGACGTATGAAGTGGAAAGAAAAGATGTGGATCAGAACGTGATGAAATTATTACGCCAGAGAGATGGTGAAATATATGCCGCGCAGAAATTTATGAAAGCGTTGGAGCTTCGCAAAAACCAACTGCAATTGGAAGAGGTAGAAATGCGCAAAGTGGCGGCGAAGTTCGGATGTTTCTTGAAAAACAACGCCATGCTGCTGTACAATGACGCCATGGAAGACTACTTGAGTCATCTGATCTCCGCTGAAAAAGAGAAGATTGCCGCTGGAATAACGAAAGATCGGCTGGAGTGTTACGAGCGGATGCTACGTGAATACCGTGCTGAAAAGGCGTTACTGGAAACAGCGATGCGAAGCGGGGACAAAAATCAGCCAATCGCCATCCAGGATGTCAATGCAGCTATCCAATCGCTGTACACGCTGCCGCTGAGTGGACAGAAAATCCGCGATGCTGTGGATACTATGCAGAAGGTGCGCAATCAGCAGGTGCAGCATCAGGAAAAAGTGTGCATGCCACAAGTGACCAACACCCGACGGAAGCCGAAAGCATCGACCGGAGGCCGCCGATCGCGCCGATTTACGCCGTATCATGTTGTGCGACGTGGACGCGGAACGCATCCGAAGATGTTCGCGGGATGCTTAAGAAAGTGTGGGGTCCCATGGAGCGTCTCAGCATTTAACCGAGGTGAGGAGGGATGCTTGTATCGCGAGCTTATTGATTTATATTATCGCTGTATACCGAGCGTTTTTTGATAGAATCCATTTCTTTTTGCAGGAAAGCCTGGCCCTTTTACTCTTTGTAGTTGATTGGTATTTGTTGTACTCGTATTAATAATTCACTGCGACAAGACATGGCTTAACGTTTTAAGGCGACAGACAAATATGAGGATGACGATTGCGTAAGAGCAGTTGAGTAAACCGTCTGCTACAAATCTAACGCGCTTGTTGTAATTTTCTTGCAGCTGTTACAACTACAGTATCTGTACGACAAAATGTATAAGGTCTTGCATATACGATATGTTACTCACTAAGCTATGTACATGTAGTCACTGACCGGAGGGCAGGAAAATTCCTGCACCCCTTTCACTTCGCGGACATACACACTACACTTTTTAATTTCGTCTGAAAATCATCTTCGGGGCACCTGTCGATAACATGATTAATACACTAACATTTCAGTCTTTTATTCAGAAGTTACAAAATAGGATTGCGCGGAAGAACAAGATCGCTGCTTCCGTAAAAGTACACGGAACAGAAATACTGAAATAAATATAGAACTGAAAGCTGCATCGATTATTATTTATTACGCTTGCGGTTGCCTGACAACGTCTTCCGGGTTTTGTGATACAGGGTACAGTATAACGGACTCTTGTTCCACGACATATACATCAATATTGTACTAACGTTTCCACAATTCAGCAGTAATTTGTTTACCGACGCAATTCAAAACGATTCAACTAGAGATGCAGAGGAATCCGCAATAATCATCATCAGGAATGTGTAACTGCATTGGCAAATTATAAGGTGGTGCAGTAGGTCCAACCTAAAGTACCCATCTCTTTTTATATCTAGACTTGAAGTAGCTGTTAAAGCAAAAGAACTGATTTGATCTTAGTCATCTTACCACCCAACGTGCATGAATCACGCTTCGAATTTAAATGAAGCTCGTTAAGGACTTTATTGCGTGCACGTGATAAATTGTATACTTGAAGCTGTCTACGATACTAACTGATCATGAGCTCAGACTGGTTTCCGGCAATAGCTGCGGCTTCTTGAAAACTTCTTGTCACAATAGGTATTTGTCGAAACAGGTTTTTTATGCATCTATCTCCGTATGATTGCGCGCCGCCACAAGCGTCTGACGCACTTCCTATTGCCATCAATAAATTCCCAGCCTGTCATTACACAGAAAAGCCAAACCGTTTTTTTTCTGTACTCGCACGGAAATGCCTGTTGCCGTTCTGCTAGGACTGATGGAGCTTGCCTTATAAGAGTTATTTCTGCCGCTGTATCCCAGTTTACCCAATTCGGATTTGAGAACACGCGGTGTGTTGCAGACATCAGTACCTTTGAAAGCTGTTATCAAATATGCCGGTTAGGACGGATGCTACAGTACCTCAGTGCGCGTACGTGTTAATATCAAACTTTCGTACATTCTGTTTGCGTACATCTTCCTCATCATTATATCTTTTCATTATGTTTTTTTGTCCAGGTACTGCGGATTAACATTACGCCAGTTTTTGGCTTACTGCAACGCGGAAAACTGCCGGAAATGGTTTTGCAATGGCACCCGAGATGGTTTGGGCAAAAGGTGATAGTGTACAATAAATTTTAAAAAAAGCTGCATATAAAGTGCATACAATGATACATGGTAAACTTTGGACCGAGAAAAACTTCTGTTTATGGAGAAATGACTAAAATAACGGATTCCGAATAATACTACTGTATATACATATAATAAACTATCCGCTTCTTTTACAGCCATATCATAGCTCATTGTGGGAAATCAAAGCATACGATCATCTCCGTGTATCCCCAAAACGTCTCCGAGCCGTATCAGCCTAAATGTTCTCGGAAAACCTGTACTGTGCGCAATATCTTTGAACTGGCTGTAGAAAGCCGTTCCGAACCATTTAACAAACGGAAAACGTGGTGCCGGAAGCATGCTGTAGGCCGAGACTTGGTAGGCCGAGGCCGGTGGAACACCTTGGTTGCTGCGCATCCGGAAGATGGTCAGTCGCAACAGTCCGCGGAGTCATCCTTCTTTATACGGCTTTCTGCCTGGTTTCTGCCCTATGTTCCGCAAGCCGTGATGGACGATAAAAGGCTGCGTCGGAGCGCGGTTTATGGGGAGAATTGGCATTAGATAAAGAAACCGTAGACGTTCTGGAAGAGTTCTGGCGTTTTAATCCCCGTGGAACTAAAAGGCAGTTTCTGAAATGGAAGGTAAAATTCCTCAGTGATAACCGTCATGTACGATAAATATAAGATACAAAAACTTTGGCATCGCTTTGCAGGAAAAGATAAACGATTTTTACAGCTCTCATCGGGATGACTTTGCCAATACGAATGCCTACTGGAAGCACTGGAACCGGTTAGTGCTGGAGTTATCCCGGCAAGAAAAGGGTACCATAGAATCGCTGCCACCGATGCGCAAAGTAGGCGCTGAATGGATAAACAACGATTACAATACGGACATCGAAGTGTTCGTACCACAAGGCGTCCTCTCGGAGTTTCTCGAGAAAGGTCAACTGGTGCACATTACTTTTCCAGTCCTACAAGCGGACGGTGAATTAATGGATCGCGCTGCGACCATATCAGCCAGAAGGTTGGCAGATAATGGCGATTACATCATCATCCACTGTTTTAAACCAGTGGATGCGGAAGGTGACCGTGTAATCGAGGGATTAACAGTGCAGTTGGTATACAATGACATCCACTTCTGGCGAATGCGGCAAGCACTGTATAAAGTGCAGAACGACAGTATGTGCATGTCACCTCAAGTTCTGGATGCTGTATTGGGACGCTGGGCGCTTGCAGATGAAGCACTAACTTCTGCGAGCTCATCGGCTTCCGCCGATTCGGGTATTTCTGTTCGCCAGTTCTCGGTCGCAGAGCATGCCAGCGATGTGGCTGACGAGGAAATTGAGGAAGAGGTAAACGAGATCGAAGCCCCACCCTTGCGCACCATCACAACAACGCAGCGCATCAATCGCGCACCGCGGCCGTTCCACACGGAGTACGAAGAATCTGTGTTAGGGTTCCGGAATTTTTGTTTTAACGCTGAACATCTCCCGGTTAATAATGTACTGAACGCCAAGCAAAAAGAAGCTGTCCAGATGGCATTGATTAACCCTGTGAGTCTAATCCAAGGGCCACCCGGCACCGGCAAAACGAAAACGGCCGTTGCAATTATCCGGAGTTTATTACAGGATCCACTGGCAAAAATACTCGTATGCGCCCCTAGCAATGTGGCCATCGATGACCTTACGCTGAAAACAGCGACTGCGGATAGAGGCCTGAAGATCCTCAGGCTGCTCCCGCATGGCCGCGACATAGCATGCGTAAACAGAGATGTTGAACAATACACCGTAAACTCAAAGTTCCGGAGAGAATTTCCTGATTTCTCCGAACCGGAGCCTTGGCGCATTCGTAGATTTGAACTGGAATGTGTGGAACAAGCACAAATTGTGTGCACAACATGCAACGTAAGAACTGGTAAATGTATTGAAACAAAATTACCCGTGACCTCTCTGCAATGAGTAATCTTCAGATCGCTCAATGTTTTATAGAGTGCAGGGTTAAACTGCTTATCCAAGGTCTCTTTTCCCTATGTTCTGATTGATGAAGCGGCGCAGGGAATGGAACCGGAATGTCTGGTTGCCATTACGAGAGCGTGCGAAAAGGTTCGTGTATGTCACTGCAAACATTTCCCCCGTGGCTAATCCTGCTGTTCTTAATATTAGCTGATATTAATTGGAGACGCAGAGCAGCTCGGGGCGGTCGTACGCTTCCCCAATCTGCAGGGATCCCAGTTAATGACGTCGCTGTTTGAAAGGTTATGGGGAGCGGACCACTGTCCAGCTAATGTTCGCGTTACACTGACCCAGCAGTACCGTATGCATCCGGCCATCTCCATGATGGTGTCGCAGATCACTTACGAGGATCAGCTGGTGGATGATGATGGTGTTTGTGAGTATTCCCAAGCTGTTTTGTTACTCAGTTATATTCAGTGTCCATTGCACGGGTAAAAATTTTCCTGACGCTTTGCAGTAAACCGGACATCTACTTCCAGCATTTTGGATGAAATTTACACATTCTCCACAAATATCCATCGCATTAAAGAGCACGATTTTCTCACCAGCAAGGGATTTTTCGGGAGAGTCAACGGCTATATTCCCATGGTATTTGTGGATTTGGCGCGGAATGATGAGTTAGCGGGAAGTGGAACATCCTTTGTCAACATGGGCGAGGCACACGTTATCGCACGATTAGTGTCCAATCTTCTCCACAGGGGTGACGAAGAAGCCAGAAGGCCATCTTCACAAGATATCGGCATTATAACGTTCTACAACGGACAAAGGTCACAGCTGCGTATCGATTTGAGGCGACACGCCGATGCTCATAACCTGCCGCCCACAGTGAGTGCTACAAATTTGATAGGACCGGCTTACAGTGAGCTCATTTTTAAGCAGTTTGTTAGCATACAATGGTATGGCACACTTAATCTACAACTGTATTGCACAAGGTATGATAATATCATACCCATGTGGTGTACAAATGTAGCCCATGTGGTGTACAAATGTCCCAAAATATTGTAATAACTATATTATAGTTATTACAATATTTTGGGACATTTGTACACCACATGGGCTGAGAGATGAAGTACATATGTCAGAGTCAGTGCGACATCGTAGCGCGAAAGCCGGAGTAAACGAAACACTTAAACTTTAGTCCGCTGGATTATGTGTTTTGGGTCGAATGGAAAGATAATAATGCTCTAAACTGAATGATGAATTAACTGTTATACGTACCTGTTTTAGGTTGTTACATCCTGTCGTGTATAAGCGTTCACGCCGGTTAAGGCTCCATGAACAATCTTTACTCTTCCACGCCTGTAATGCTCAATCGGTAGGCACTCGTACTCTCAAACTGTAACAGAAGAACTAAGGTGGAAATAAGACGAACGAATCAGGAACACAGAAGATCAGGAATCCCTCAGGAACGAGCTAACCACAACTTCCGGTCGTGAGTCCTGTGAGGATCGGCAAGAGCTAGGACGATTGTGTCACGAGCAAACCTGTATACTAAGCGATAATCCGGGAACGACTATGCACTTCCGTAGGAACAAGTATTGCTGTCTCTTTATCCAATTCACATCACAGTTCACAACACTAGGAAATTGTAATCAGAAAGCAGTCTCAGAAGTAAATCTCAGACTACTGATACCGATATTAGGCATCACAAGAACTTATATAGACTTCGCGTTATGACATCATATACATCGCTAGTAAAAGAGAACAGCAAATCACAGCATTGATTGACTAGATTATCCGTTATGTTGCAGGTGGAAGGCGGACAGTCAGCATCCGTACGTACATCCGGCGTATGATCCTACTCCCATACGTCACCCCCACGAACGATGCTTGGCCGTGCCAAAGTAAACAATCCATCCCGCAACATCCCAGTGCGATTGTGCACTTCCATCCATCCTGATCCCGATCCACCGCACAATCCACGCGTCCATCCGATGCCCAATGTGACTGTACGCCGCGATTCCAGAGAGTTAGTGTGTGGAATCCTTGGCGAAGAGGCATCCGGAAGTCCACGGGTTTGGCAGGGCGGAGGTCCAAGGATCCAGGAAGGCGAACTATGAATTACTGACATGGTGCCGCTTGAGTTTAGATGGTGTTTTATGTACAGTATACGGCATAAAGCTTTATTAATTGTGAAAGTAAAATCTTAGATGTGATTGTGTGCGATTTTGTAGAACTATGGATTAAACAGCAAAAGCACCCAATCAACCAACCAGTAGTATTCTTACGAATTCTCGAGTACTACAAATAGATCGTATAGCAACAAATGTCAACAACAACAAACAAGCTACAAATAAGCGTATCAAAATGGTGAGTGCCATCTACCAGCGCACTGATACAATAATGTAAACCAGTAAAAGACAACAAAATCAAAAGTCAAGGCAGTGCAACAAAGCCAGTAACAATATGAGATCAAAGAAAGCAACCAAGGTCAATGTCAAAGGTGAGTCAAGGTTACTTGCCAGCACTGGGAGCCAATGAAAAGAGACCAGTAATACCAGAGCCAGATGCAGCGGCATCCAAACGGCGAGAAACTTCCGCAGCCATCTGACGTCGGCGATCAGCATCCAATTCCCGCTGCTGCTGTTGAGCCAAATAACCAGGCACAAAATTATGCTCGGCAGACCCAACAGGACCGGAAGGCGCAGACGGCGCACGTGGGCGATCAGCTGGAGAACGGTCGCGGGCATCGCGGACAATCGGTACTTCAGGTAGCGGCAAAACATTTGGTGGCAGACCGGGAAATTCAGCGTTAGCCGGGGCCTGCACAAGTGGAATGACAGCCGGGGGAACGAGAACAGCATTCAAGGCTGGTGGGCCATGTAGATTGACAGCAGGGTTGAAACCATTGGGCTCACCTGCAGCCACATTTCCGTTGCCCTGGACCGGATTCGGTGCATTCGCTGCTTGGTTGCCCGGGTCGTCAACCTCCATGTTTGCGGCGGCAGCTTCCACTGGAGCAACTGGGTGAGCGTCTCCATCAGGTACTTCAATAACTTCCGGTGCGCCCAGAGGTCGGCCATTACGACGCCAATGATCGTTTCCACGACGCAAGTTATTGTCTCCAAAATTCCTATGATTTCCTCGGCCGTACGGACGAAAGTTGCCACGGTAAGCACCACGGGCTCCACCCCTTCCTCGGTGATTATAACCGGCATTATACTGTTGTTGCTGGTTGGAGGATGAATGAAAAATAGCGTCAACCAGCTTATCAAAAGCTCGGTTAGGATCAATAGGCGGCATGCCCAACTAATGAAAACTAGTGACCTTTTAACGCTAAAAGTGTAAAGAGAAAAAGCGTCAAAATCACAGTCTACACACAGTGAAAATCCAGCATGCCAGAAGGCCGAAATGAAAAATCCACAATGCCGATTTCTGCACACTACGCGCAAGTGATTTTATACCTGTCTGCGGAAGCGAAATTTTAAACTGCGGCAGATTCCACACAGGTAAGAAAAACAGCCAATCAGCGCTTCGCGCTATATCCCTTTAATTCAACATAATCAGAAAATCAGATCTATCCAGGTACAATGAGAGATTTAACACTGATAGCCACGGCACAGCGGCAAAACATTAACGACCAGTTCAATGACTCAGAGCGCGTAAAATTGGAGAATAAAGTTGAAGGGCAAGAATTCTCGTTGTGCTCTAGACTATAATACCATACTACAAAAATACCGCTGCAAATATAAAATAAGAGGAACCATCATGCCATGAATTGGAGAAACTAGGGATACAAAAGGAATACAACGAAGATAGAGCAATAGTGAACAACAATAACATTACAGTTCATCGGAGTGCGGGTGATGCTGACCAAAAACTGCTGGTTCCGCAATTTCAGGTGAATCCTCACGCGCAACAGCCGGAATAGGCATTACAGCCGGGGCAACTGGCTGCAGAGACGGCAGCGGATCAACATCCATTTTCTCAAAATCAGATCCATCATCATCGTCACAATCAACTTCCATATCAACGTTCTCGTCAGCTTCGACATCAGCATTCTGCTCAGGGGATAACACCGCCGAAGGATCCTCACGATCTTCACCATCATCCGAGACAGATACTTCGCTTGGCGCCGAAGACGAGGACGGTGAAACCTCCTTGTACTTGCGCTTTTGCCCACGAGTGCGAAAGTTATATGGTCCAGCAGAAGTGGATGGCTGCGGTTCAGCATTTTCCACGGCAGCAGCATCAACCGCTTGACGAGCAACTGCATCCGCTTTCTGATGCTTGGCCAGAACTTCAAACAACGAACAAAACAGGATTGAAATATAAATACTGGCGACGCAATTCAAAGGCGATAGGCGTGGGCAGGGACCGTGTAATGGTACACAAATCAAATCGATTAATTAGAGCTCCGTTGGTAAACAAAAACCGCGATAAGTATAAACGAGGATAATATCGATGAAACGATTTAATCCGGAAAATAAGCCTCGGTAATCACTAACCATCTCACCCTGCTTGTCCGCAATAGCCATTCGTGGAAATACTCCGGAATGCGCTCGTTTGCGAGCCGTCTGCTTGGTCTTGAAGACCGGCCGTGGTGCATCCGGGTTATACGGCACATAAAGAATTCCGCCTTTGCGCAGATGTTCCTCGTCTAAACACAGTTGAAACGACAATGAACGCAAGCAAAGCTTAACCATGATCAACTGCAAAACTGGCAGAAGAAGCAACAAAACAGAAATGAAGCGACATGACAACGATTGTCGTATCTCATGAGTGTAGTAACGAGAAACACCACAGGTAGAATTCAGACTTGTGAAAAACCACAACATTACAGTAAAACAACGGCAAACACGGCAATACCTCGCTTTGCTTTTACAGACGGAGTCTCGGAAGACGATGGCTCTTCTTCTGTCAAGTCTGGAGTTCCCAGCTGTCTCTCCGCCTGCGTCTGCAGTTTCTTCGGTGATGGCTGACGGATCTCAACGTCAGGGCTAGCAGGGAATAATCCTCGGCGGGCCTGACGGCGAACCACAGCAGCATTGCGTCGTAAGATTGTGCGTCGCCGCTGTGCATCATATCGGCGCTGCAAAGCATTGACTACTGCATCTGCCCAACTCGTTGAAGGTTGCTGAGCCTCTGCTTCACTCCACCGATCCCGATGACCCAGAAGATTGCGCAGAAAACACTGGTTGCGCGGAAGTACGACGAGAGACGCGAGATCGAGTGACACGCGATGAAGAACGGGCTTCATCGCTGTCCGGAGAATAACCAAAACTTAATCCCTGCTGTTGCACGACTCGGGCGCGGTGTACGCGATACAGTCTTCCTCGCAGTCGCTTTCTTTGCAGGAGGCGACATTCTCAAAACGTAAAATGACAAATTAATCGTAAAAGACAGGGAAAACAAATAATAACGATGCCAGCAGGTTCAGAAAATTGAGAAACTGAAGTGCAGAGAAAAAGCACAACAGACAATCTACACTGGCACCGACGCCGAGAACTCAAAATTCACCGAGTATACCACCAGGCGGTTGACAGGCGACCAGCGGTTTTGCGAATTTTGTCCCCACTTTGATTATTTGCATAGAACACACAGGAGACCAATTGTTCTTCGGGATCTGTAAATTTCATCCACAAAAACCAAATTTTAATACAACATACAAATCATGACGATTAAAGGATACGAAAAGGAAAGCCAAAAATCAAAACACGCGGCTGGGAAATATTCGGAACACAGACCAGAGACTGCGCAGTTTCCGATAGCATGGCCATATCAGGGCGGCTGGCAGACGACAAAATACCGGTACATTGCACGAAAAATATCAGCTGTTCATTCATAAAAACGAAGAACCCAACAATATTTATCCTTTCACGGTGACGGGTTTTCTGTTTCATTTTATTACTAGCTTGTTTCTCTTCGCCAAATTTTATCTTAATCATTTCTAATCATCCGAGCATCATGTCAGCACAGCCTGTGGGGCCAACTGGAGAGCCGTTACCTTCGCCCGAAACAGATGCGATTGCCCACTATGAATACTGGAAGGGACGAACTCGCGAATCGGTTCAGTTTGCCATGGCGGAGCCTCTACAGCCAAACGAAACCATCCGAGACCGTCGACAATTGGCGATGCATACGGCAGCCCACGCGTGCATCCTTGAGGCTGACATTACGGGATATTATGTGGACATGTCATCTATCAAGAAATTCGTTGTGGAAATGCATGATGACTTCACGGAAGAACGAGTGGATTTCTTCCTTGGCGACGCTATTAATGCTGGAATCTTGCTCAAGAAGATGAGCCGCGATGGACGTTTCGTCTAGAAGTGGCCGAAGAAGTCAAGAATAACCGTGATCCAGAGACGAAGGTAATCGACACAACTAGCAAGTTTCGTCGGATGATTCGAGTAATCCTCTACCACGGCCGATATGCCATGTCACGCACAGAAATCCAACACTGGATCTGTACGTTCGACGTACATCTGCAGGACGTGGACTACTGGCTGGAGCGCGGGCTGCGCCAACTGGTTAACCAGAAACATGTCGTCGTCGTCTACGGGAATCTTTTCGTGGACAGCTGCATCGACCTGTGGCTACGAAGCATTCGCGGCTGCTGTCTCTGCACCACTCTGGCCCAGACCATCAGTGAGTATTTCTGTATTTTTCGAAGTAGCATTCTTGATACTTACACTTTAAAATAGCACAGCAACGCCGCCTACTGGAAATCACGTTGTCTGTCGTAATTTAACCAGAGTGATTTAAATTGTAGATATCAAAATGGGCACTATGAAGGTTATCGTAAACGGCAAGGAGACCAAACAGCATGTCGCCGATTGCAGCTTTGGTTACGTGGGACAAGACGGGGATTTGGTTGTCGATGGCGTCATGGAGCGGCTGGACGCAATCGAGCCCGAGAAGAACAACACCACCAACGTAAATCTGGTAATCCGGGCTAGCAAAGACGGACGCATTGAGAGAGAACCAATTATCACGCTCACTCAACTAAAAGCTATGGGCGGCCGTCCTAAATATGTCCCCCGATCAAAGAATACGGATACCGAAAAGAAAGGCCAGAAGACCAAGGAGAAGGCCGAAAAGCCTGACAATGAAGTGAGCACTGCAAAACCGGATGCTATTAAAAAGCCCGACGCAATCGACAAATTACTAGAACAAGTTGAACGAGAGAAGGATATTATGGATAACTGCAAGGCGCTGGTAAACACGCTGAAGGCTCGAG